ACAAGGGCCTCACATGGTGTGGCCTGTCATTATTTCATGAGTGTTAGCACCTTCTCTTCCATGGCTGGCCTTTTTTTTCAGTCTGCAACATGTTTGCCAGTATCTCCGAGTCAACCACATGCTTCCTTATGACATTTCAGCTTCTTCAAAGCACTCTGACCTTTCTTTATGACTCAGATTAAGGTGTCCCATTTTGAGAAGATGGCTAAAGCCTGGAGCTCAGATTCTGGAAGCTTCCTGTCCTCTCCCAAAGTGCATCCTTGCTGTGCATTCCTGGGGAGACTGTGTCTCCAGCCGTGCCCACAGGCCTTATCCACCTCTGGCGGACTGGCTGGTCTTCCAGGCCCGTGGCTTTTGACCCAGGTTCTGTGTTCTGAGCATGTGCTGAGTTTCAAGCCTGCCTCACCATCTGCCCCAGCTCGGGGCTTTCCATCATGAAAAAAAAAAAAAAAAATCACTTCTCTTCCGCTGTCATTTGTGATAACCACATGGACGCTGAAACCCAAACCCAAGGCTGTTTCCTTTCTGTCTCCTCCGTGCATCAGCGCCAGCATGACCTAGAAAGGGTCAGCACCCTCATGGCCAGCCCTCTCACTGACTCAGTGGGGACCGCTCAGAGACACGCCTAGAGCCCCACTCTCCTGCTGCCTGCAGCCACACCCCAGGGATGTCCCCCAGACGGGGCTTGGAAACAGAAACTACTTGTTCTTCTTCTTTTTACCCCCGAGCACAGTTATTTTGCAATATTGTTTGGAAAATGCACAGTGCCTTTTTTTTTTTTTTTTTTAATGCTATCTCCATTTAACCAGTCGAGAGATGAAAGTTCTCCCCTCCCAGAGAAGCATGCTGGCTCCACTCACTCCTGCAACCTTTTCTCGTTGTCCTTGGCCGTGTGTATCTGCCATCTCTGCAGTGACCCCAGTGTCAGCCTCCCTCTGAGTGCAGAGTGCTTCCCTCCTCCACCCACCCTGGCCTGGCGCTGTCTCCCACCTGCCCCCTCCAATGCCTAACCCTTGCCAGCTCCAGTGCCCTCAGCAGGCAGTGCCTCCCAGCCACCTTCCTCAAGCCAGGTGACAACCACTCCTTTGAGGTCCCGTGGCCCCTGACCTCCTGTCCCAAAGCTCATGCTGGCCTCACTGTAGCTGCCTTACTGTGCGTCCATCCCTGCCCTCCACCCCTACTGAACTGGACATGGAGCCTCACCAAGCTAGAGCCACACTTGGTCTGTCTCCACATCCTCAGCACCTGCACTCAGCAGCCACTTAGTGCACTGATTCATTAGTCTATCAGCCGGCAACCCAGTTCCTATGCTGCTCCAACCTTGAGCTGGTGAGACAGCTGCTGTCTGGATGCAGGTTCCCAAGGAAGGAAAACCCTCCACCCAACACCTGTGCGTTTGGTAAAAAGGAACTATTTCCAAGCATGGTGTGTGCTCCAGGCGCTGGGCAATTTTTTTATTTATTTAATTAATTAATTAATTAATTTTAGAGACAGAATCTCTCTCTGTCACCCAGGCTAGGATGCAATGGTACCATCATAGCTCAATGCTGCCTGGACCTTCTGGACTCAAGTGATCCTCCCACCTGGCTAATTTTTTTTTTTTTTTTTTGGTAGGGACAAGGTCTCACTATGCTGCTTGTGCTGGTCCTGGGCTCAAGTGATCCTCCCATATCAGCCTCCCAAAGTGCTAGGATTACAGGCGTGAGCCACTGTACCTGGATGGGTTTTTAAATTAATTAAATCTAGGTGTTATCCCCATTTTCCAGATGAGAATATGGACATCCAGAGAGGTTAAGTGACCAGCCAGATGCCACACAGCTAGTGAGTCATGGGGTCTTGACCACTGGGACCAATTCTAGATCCTTCTGGCCTCATGGCTGGCTCTTTCCCAGACGCGTGCCTGTGGGGTCACTTAGCCAGCTAACTCTGCTGTCTGCTGGGCTTTCCTCAGTTTCTGGTTGTAGCCTTGGACCACCTGAGGGAGGGGCTGGCTCACAACAGCCTATAGGCCAAGTGCCCTTGTGGTGTGTTTTTGTCTAGCCAGTGAGCTGAGAATGGGTCTGACATTTTCAAAGGGTTGTAAAAATAAGGAAGACAATGCAACAAAGACTGTATGTGGCCCGAGACAGCTAAACATGTTTTCTACCTGACTCTTTACAGGAAGAGTAGACCTCTGCCAACAGACAGTGTCCCCCAGACCATTCTTCCTTGCGGGGGGTTCAGGGAGTGACCAGCGGCTGTGCAATGGTTGTGGGGGGCTGGCTTACCTCAGCCTGCCTTAGAGGGAGTGGTGACACAGGCAGCAGTGCTCTAGGCTGGCTGAGGAGCGGTCTGACCGGCAGAGAAAGGGAGGACCAAGAGCAGTCTGATAGTCCCAGGGCAGAAGCTAGTCCCCAGAACCTGTCGTGCAGAGGTCACAGTCACATCGACCCTCTCAACCTACAACCTCAGAGGTCCCTCAGAGACTCTCTGTTCAACTGTCCCTAATACCACATGAGGTGGTGCAGAAGCTCCTCTGAGAGCTTCTTCAGAGTAGTATAGTGTCTGCTGTCTGCTTATTTCATGCTGTGCACGTAGCTTCAAGTCTGGCTCTTAGCATGTGCTTAAGTCCTATGTTTCATTGAACTGAAGCAAAATAGGCAGAATTGGCCAAGAGGAGGCTCAGGTCTCCTGAACTCTGCCTGCAGCCTCGCCCAGCCCACAGTTTGGTTGGTTTGAGGCACCCCCGCCTGCTCAACCCCCCTGGGTCCCTGGGTTTCATCTTCTATACCCTCCGGACACCAACCACTGAGCCTCACAGGCCACGGGCGTTGCCAACAAGAAGGGATGCTCGAAAGCCTCGCTGCCCATGGATGATTAGAGCCGTGCTTCCCCACTGTCCCATCATCTGAGACTCAGCGGGACTCTTCTCTGTCCCTCCCATTCTTTGCTTAATAAAAATAAGAGCTGAGTTTTTGGAAGCCAGTCAAGTCACACACTAGCCGAGAAATTAGAGCCAAAACAAATACATTTAAATGCTTGCACATCCAATGTGCTTTTCAAGTAAAGCATTCAAAGGCAGGGAGTGGCTACAGGGAACATATTCAGTTGTTACAAAAAAATCAAAACAGGTCTGAAGGGAAAGCAACTCATTGGGAGAATCACAGGATGGGTTTCCAGAGCACAGCCCACTACGTCGCCTGCCTCCCCCGGCCAGCCCGTGTCCTTTGGCCCAGCACGCGTCTGATGGCCTCTTCCATTTTCTCCTTCTCTCTCATGGGTTCTCCCCTGAAGCTTCCTCTGGCCCCATGGAGGGCCTGGGGAGGGTGCCCAGCTTCCCAGTAGATACTTACTAACTGATGAGTGAAGACAATTTTTATTTTTAATCGTGATGATTTTTACTGCAATGTAATAAAAATTGTAATGTAAATTCTAAGTGCTTAATAGAAAAAAATAAGGAAAAAAAAAAACAACTTTCAACAGTGGTCCTACCCATCTCAACCAAGTGGCCTTCAAGGTCACTGTGCCTCTCCCCCCATGCCGGGAGAGAGAGGCCTGAGGGTCCCATGGGATGTGCTTAAAAGCCAGGCCTAGAAGGGGCTAAGGCCACTGCACACAGCTGCAGCTTGATCACACAGACCGTTTAATGGCAAGACGTCCCAGCCTTTTTCTTGAACTCCTGGGCTCGAGAGATCCTCCTGCCTAAGCCTCCCAAAGTTCTAGAATTATAGGCATGAGCCACCATGCCCGGCCCCAGCCTTTTACTATGAGTGTAATTTTTGTTAATGTTTTGTTTTGCTTTTACTAGTTGTTGAGTTGTGACTACCTAATATATAATTTTGTCTCTTTTTTGATATTGCCATTATATCCTACAAATTCCCATTCACAAATTCATTTTAAGCCTCCTTTTTGCTGGCTGCATAATATTCTAAAGTGCAAGTGTACCATAACTTACTTAAGCAATCCCCTATAATTGGGCATGTGAGTTTTTTCTGGTTTTGTTTTGCTATTTTAAATAATGCCATGTTGAGTTTTTTGATGCGTTAAACTTTATACCCATTCTGGGCTCATTTAACAATGTTGGCCTTACTCTCTACAAGGTATTATGGGAGATAGGAGGATAAACCAGACACAATCCCTTTAAATAAAATGCAGATACAAATAACTTTAGTTCAAAGCAGTTACATGGTTGCTATACGCAGACAACTAGAGTGGGAATACAGAAGAGTTTTGCCTGGACTTACTGGCAAGTCACAGGAGAAAATCTGAGACTTTGCAGCCATAACCCAGGGGAAGTCAAATGAACAGTCCAGCAAAAGGGGTCTCTGGTGGGTGACCTATGCCAGCAGCAGGTGTTACCTGGGCTGGCATAGCAAGCGGGTTGCATCTCAAGTGTTAAGTTCGTTTTCAGTGGTTGCGAGGAGTACTGTGCGGACGTCAGAGGGGAGCGGCTCAGTGGGTAACTTTAGCAGCGCCTGCCCATGGACCCAGGTTGGTGGAGAGGTGGGGATGGCATACACCTAACACGGCCATCCCCAGCCTGAGAGTTTCATCTCAGGGAGAGCTCAGGACTGGTGTTGGCTTGGCCCATGCCCAGAACTCTGTTCCTTAGGTTGAGGCCTCTTTGAGCCATTCAAATCAAGACCATTATGGGTCCAGACATTTCGGACTGCAGGTTTTGAGGTCCTCTTTTGGAGAGCGTGCAGTCTGAATAGACAGACGAGAACTGCCTCCGGGCCCCAAGCTGGGAGAACAGGAAGCAGGGAACCTGGGAGGCCGAAGACAAAGCAGTTTTGCCAGGCTAGAGCCCTGGGCTGCTTCTCCCAGAGGCCAGACCTGTTTTCCTTCCCTGCCTAATTCCAGTCCTGACAAATGCACCCGCCTCTGGCCGTATTTGCCCGACTAGGCGCGCCAGGGAGGGTTGGTGGTGGGAGCGGACCTGTCCCAGGTGTCCTGCCGGGGGCCTCTCCACAGCCCCCTACACTCCTGCCTGTTGCCCTGATCTGTGGCCCTTTCTTAAGCCCCTGCAGGTGCCATGACTCAGCAGCCCCAGGAGGACTTTGACAGGAGCGTGGAGGATGCCCAGGCGTGGATGAAGGCTGTGCAGGATCAGCTGCAGGTCAATGACAACACGCAGGGGCCCCGCGCGGCCCTGGAGGCCAGGCTGTGGGAGACAGAGGTATGCAGAGGTGTGACCTCAGATGGCCCTGTGGTCTTGGCCCCGTCCTGCCCCGGCCTCAGACCTCAGGTTTCCTATCTGTTAAAGGCAAGGGTGGACTAGACCAGTGTTTCTCAAACTCTGATGTGCACACAGATCTCCTGGAGATTTTGTTTAAGTGCAGACGCTGATCCGGTCTGTGGAAGTGAAGCCCAAGACTTTGCTTTTGGCAAGTTCCAGGTGATACCATTATTGCCGGTCCTTGGAACACACTCTGATGATAAGGAACTAGAGCCTGTCCTCTCACCCTGCTGTCCCTGCAAGGGGAACCTGTGCAGCCAGGTGGGTCCCCCAGCCCTTGCTGGGGGGCTTCCCACCCCTTCTCTGCTTCTGCCTGGTTGGGGTCCCTGCCAGATCTGGATTGGCCAAGGTCTTCCCCCAGAGAAGCGGGGAAGGGGCTCTGCCCAGCTAGGAGTGACTTCCTGAGCTTCTCCAGAACCGGAGTCTGGCTTTACCCACCCCACCTGGCACAAGTCCATGTAGCACTAAGTGCTGGTGCCCAGTGCCTGGCCTGGCATCGTGGTGCCCCTCTCTGGGGGTGGGTTGCCCACAGCCTGGGGACAAGAGGGAAGAATACTGAGCTAAGAGTCAGCAGCTGGAGTTATAATCTCCTTGCTGTTGCTAGATTGCTGTGTGACCTTGGTCAAGTCTCTGTCCCACTCTGGGCTTCAGTTTTCCCATCTGTAAATGGAGCAGTTGACTTACACACCTCTGGGGTCACATCCATTTAGATACTCCATAATTCTAATTTATCACCCAACAATGGTTGCTCGCAGTTGGGGGGTGCTGCCTTCTCCTACAGCAAACCAGTCACCCAGCCAGGCTGGAAGCAGTGGTGACCCCACAGCTGGTTCCTTGTGTGTTTCCTTTGTGTGTGTTGTCTTCTCGATTCTGCACACTGTGCACCGTATTGCATATATCTCGTGCCCTTTCTGGAAGTGGACAGTGGGAATTAAGAATCCTCATCACCTTTCTGAGTCAATGTTTGATTGCAGTGTCACCGCCACAGCCAGAGGCAGGGGCCATTGTCTGCCTTTTGCAACTGGGAAATGGAGTCTCCTCACACCGTTTCCTGTGCCTGGAGAGCCCTCTCACTCACGTTCAAGCTCTCTGCTGTGCTCCCTTCACCTTCTGTTTGGGAAGCTCCCTCACAGATCACCCAAGAGTGGAATACCCCCTGCTTTCCGCCATCCCTGTGCCAGGGCTGGGGCTGTGCAGGTGGGTGAGGCCCACCCTGCTCTTGAGGGTTCCCAGCGTAATGGAGACGCATATGCAGTCAGGGTGACTGCACAAGCATGTATAAGGCACACCCCTAACGTGGGTCCCGGGATGTTATTTTCTTCCTCTAAAACCTTCCATGGCTCTCACTGTCCACCAAAGAAAAAACAAACTTCACCCAGCATCAAAAGTCCCCCACTATCTGCACCGCTCTGTTTTCCAGCCTCAGCTCCAGCTGCTGTCACCCCTCGCAAGCTCACACCGGCCTCAGCTCTCCACACTGTCACCCCTCCCAAGCTCACACCGGCCTCAGCTCTCCACACTGTCACCCCTCCCAAGCTCACACTGGCCTCAGCTCCAGCCACTGTCACCCCTCCCAAGCTCACACCAGCCTCAGCTCCAGCCACTGTCACCCCTCCCAAGCTCACACTGGCCTCAGCTCCAGCCACTGTCACCCCTCCCAAGCTCACACCGGCCTCACCTCCAGCCACTGTCACCTCTCCCAAGCTCACACCAGCCTCAGCTCCAGCCACTGTCACCTCTCGCAAGCTCACACCGGCCTCACCTCCAGCCACTGTCACCTCTCCCAAGCTCACACTGGCCTTAACTCCAGCCACTGTCACCTCTCCCAAGCTCACACCGGCCTTAACTCCAGCCACTGTCACCCCTCCCAAGCTCACACTGGCCTCAGCTCCAGCCACTGTCACCCCTCCCAAGCTCACACCGGCCTCAGCTCCAGCCACTGTCACCCCTCCCAAGCTCACACCGGCCTCACCTCCAGCCACTGTCACCCCTCCCAAGCTCACACCGGCCTCAGCTCCAGCCACTGTCACCCCTCCCAAGCTCACACCGGCCTCAGCTCCAGCCACTGTCACCCCTCACAAGCTCACACCGGCCTCAGCTCCAGCCACTGTCACCCCTCACAAGCTCATGCTCTCCTTCAATTGGCCGAAGACCTCCTAGACTTTCCATCGCCAAGCCTTTGTTCCCGTGTTGCCTCTGCTAGGAATGCTCTTTTGTTTGGGTCTGCGTGTACACAAGAAATGAGACCCTCCTGTCCGTGCATCTTTCCTGACCAGTTTCCCCCTTTCTCAGCCCCAGCTCCTGACCCTCCCTGTCTGTGGGCATCACAGTCCTGCCTGTGTGCTCACTGTGTTAGGGTGCTTAGCATTTCATACTTTCTACCCTTTGCTGGCAGGTCTTTCCCCGCAGCTGGTGGTTCTGGTTTAAGCAAAGTCAAGGGTGGTCCTTACGAAGACACATTGGCAGGCAGGGTGGACGGGCCCTGGAAGCCAGAGGCAGCACTTCTGTGGGTCCCGAGGGGGTGGGAGTCCAGGCAGAGGGCAGTCATGGCCTGAGCCTTCTGCCACTATCTCCTCCCACGGGGCTCCGGCATGCTTCATTTATTGTGTGTTTTGCCATTTTCAAAACCAATTTCACAATAAGAAAGAAAACATTTTCCTGTTGCCAGCTGGTAAGAGGGGGCAGCTAGTAGTGCCTCTCGACCTACCTGTGGGACCTGCCCCCAGGTTCTGGGATCTACCTTGTGCTTCCTCCACCAACTCTGTTAGGCTTGTCTCCAGTGCCTGTTTGCTTCAGTGACGAGGACATGGACTCTGATCCAGTTCTGATCCTTAATAGCCGTGCAGCCGGGGGGATGTCCCATGCCTTCCCGGGACCTCATGTTCCCATCCGTAGAGCAGGAGCGAACCCCCTCAGCCCTCGTGTTCCCAAGGGGTTAAGGGAAACTCCAGAATCCTCATGGGATGGGAGCTTTCTGTAAGGTGTGATTGGAGAACCCATCACTTCTGGGTTGAGAGCTTGGCTACTGGGCCTGCAGGCCTGGGCTCCAAAATCTGCCGTGGCTGTGACACCTCAGGAGGGTTTCCCAGAGCTCCCTGAGCTTCAGCTTGCTTCCGGGGAGAGTGATAGCTGCTGCCTTGCAGGAAGGAGGGAGGATTGAGGAGAATCACTTATAAACACGCTTGTATGCACAGTGCAGGGTATGCTGGCAGAGCTGGCTAAATGGAGGCGATTGTTTCTTGTGGTTTTAGAAGCTGGGATATACAGTGTACCAACTGTCCCTGATCATCCCCAGAGCCTCCAGGAGTGGGTCATAGGAGCTTCCAGCCACACTCCCAGGTCCAGTATAGGTAGTTATTTATTTGTTTATTGAGATGGAGTCTCGCTGTATTGCCCAGGCTGGAGTGCCGTGGCATAATCTCAGGCTCCCTTGTCCTGTATCTGGGTCCTGGCCTGAGCCAGGCAGCTTCCTCACCAGCTTCTGGGCCACCCTCTTGGTCAGGAGCATCCTGGTGTTTCCCAAAGCTTGGTTTCCCAGTGCACTCAACCTTCAATATATCTTACTTCCCTACCTTTGCTCAAATATCCTTCTCCAGTTGTCTTTAATTAGAGACCTGCAGGCTTGATGCCAATGCCACCTTCTCCACAAAGCCTTCCTGGATTTCTCCCATCCCTCCTTGAGCTCTCATACAAACTTTGCGGTCTCTTCTGACCCTTTTTGCAGTCATCTACGCTCTTATCTGCAGCCCTCTTTCCTACCAGCTTGTTCATCCAGGACCCTAGCACGCAGCGTAATGCTCAGCTGGGGGTCACCTCGTCTTGGCTGGGTTGAGGGAAAACCCTGATTAACCCCATTCCTCCACTTTCCCGGTCTCCTGATTCTTCTCTCCAAGGTGTTTCCTTACATCTGCTCCCCACCTTCCCCTTGACCTCATTGGCTGCTTCAAATTGGGATAATTTTGTGGCTGCAGTTCAAGTACTTTCTCCCACTTGGCCGCACAGCCCTTGTCAAGCACTCCTGGACTGTGTCCTTGCTGGTGATGGGCTATAAAAGAACCTCGCACCAGCCAAAGAGTGTAATCATCAGGGCAGTCAAAGAGAATGGAGTCTACTTCTCAAAATTTGGCTTTTCCAGCCCAGCCACAGCCTCTGGCCTCCCCTGGCTTCAGGCCTCCAATAAACACCCTACAGGTTGATCTTTCAGGGCAGACGTTTCTTCTCCAGGTCGGGGAAGGCGGCTTGGTATCTGGCCTGCCTTTGGACCAGCCAGCTCCTCTGCTTTGGTAAAGAAGCATCAAACTCACTCCCTTGAAAAGGCAGTGGGTCTCGGGTCTTTGTGTCCCCCTCTGTCCAGCCTGTGCCTCTTTCATGAGGATAAGAAGGACAAAGGTCTAGGGGCCTGGGGGGACCACACAGTCAGGACACCAGGCTTTGGAGAAGGGGCCATTGTCCACACGGGACATTCCAGACCTGGCTGCTCCTTCTGGGTGTGGCCAAGGAAGATGGAATTTCACTTCTTCCCCAGAGTTGTTGGCTCCTGTGATTTTCAGAGCTGGACTCCATCTGAGCTGCAACTGGGAGCAGGTGTGGAAGAGGCTTCTCTGGCAGCTACAGAGAATCATTCCTAAGGCTTGTGGTTTCCGTGGGTCCCCAGCTCCTCTGTTTGTAAAATCAGACTTATCGTGATGCCCGTCTTGCTAGCTTGGGGAATATGAGTCTCCTTTCACATTTCTGGGAATCAGAAACATCATCTTACCTTTTTTTTTTTTTTTTTTTTTTTCCCCTGAGATGGCATGTTGCTCTGTCACCCAGGCTGGAGTGCAGTGGTGTGATGGCTGGAGTAAAGTGGCGCGATCTCGGCTCACGGCAACCTCCACCTCCCAGGTTCAAGCAATTCTCCTGCCTCAGCCTCCTGAGTAGCTGGGATTACAGGTGCACACTGTCGTGCCCAGGCTAATTTTTGTATTTTTAGTACAGATGGGGTTTCACCGTGTTGTCCAGGATGGTCTCGAATTCCTGACCTTGTGATCTGCCCACCTCAGCCTCCCAAAGTGTTGGGATTACAGGTGTGAGCCACCGCGCCTGGCCCTTTTTTTCTTATTTTTATTTTTTTAGTGACAGGATCTTGCTCTGCTGCCCAGGCTGGAGTGCAGTGGTGTGATCATGGCTCACTGCAGCTTCAACCTCCTGGGCTCAAGCAATCTTCTTGACTCAGCCTCTTGAGTAACAAGGGCTATAGGCATATGCTACTATGCCTGGCTAGTTCTGTTCTGTTTTGTTTTGTTTTAATAAAAAAATGCTTTTGGAGAGATGGCCTCAGCGATCCTCCTGCCTTGGTCTCCCAAAATGCTGGGATTACAGGCGTGAGTCACCACATCCGGCCTACTATTATTTTTAATCAAATTAAATCTCTCTCTGAATGGCAACAAATTCATCCTCAGCCATGCTGTGGAACCCTGCCCCTGGGTGGTGTGAAACATCCTGGGTGGATAATCATATTCAGTCTAGAACATTCCGCACTGACTCTTGGGTCTTCGGCCACACTGGCCACTGTGGTACTTTTGTTTGCCCCATCGTTGCTTGCTGCTGAGAGGGACTCAGGGTCCCTGTCTGGGTATTGCTGTGGCCATCACCCCCTGGGCTCCTGCCACATCCTGCTACTTGGCCAAACAAACCCCCTTTCCTCTCTTGGGGCGTCTCCCCATTCTTCACTCTCCCTGAGCTCTCCCCACGCACATGCACACAGAGACAGCCTTTGGAAGGAGCTTGTTTGCCTCACTGTTTGGTAATGCACGTAGGAGGGGAAGTCCCTCTATACTGTTATCATCGTCGTCATCATCATCATCATTGATTATTGTATGGAGTAACGAAAAGGATGGAGACTGTTGCCCATTTGCACACATTGGGGAAGAGTTGAAATAACTATTCAACAGTTTACAAAGTACACTAACTTATACCCATGTTTAATTCAGTGTTTTTATTTTATTTTTATTAGTTTTAATATTATTTTTTGAGGCAGGGTCTCACTCTGGCACCCAGGCTGGAGTGTAGTGGCTTGATCATGGCTCACTGCAGCCTCAACCTCCCAAGCTCAAGCGATCCTCCCACATCAGCCTCCCAAGTAGCTGGGACTACAGGCGTGTGCCACTACATCTGCCTAAATTTTAATTTTTTTTTTTTTTTTTTTTTTGTAGAGACGTGGTCTCACTGTGTTGTCCAGGCTGGTCTCAAACTCCTAAGCTCAAGCAATTCTCCCGCCTCAGCCTCCCAGAGTGCTGGGATTACAGGCATGCAGCACTGTACCTGGCTAATAGTGTTTTTAAAGTTAACATTATAACCCTGGGAGGTGGACAAACAGAGATTGTTATCGTTGTCTCAGGATGAAAAAGGGAGACTCAGAGTAGTCTAGTGACCTGCCTGGGGTCACACAGCTGTCGGTGGGGCCGCATTCCACATAGCAGGAGCTCCTCCCTCACCCCAGCCATGGGGAAGGGTCAGAGACAAGCAGGCTGCTGGGAAGCCAGTGTGAGGACACTGACCGCCAGCCCCCGGGGAGACAGGCTGGGGATCTGAGCGTGAGCTTTAGGCCATGCCTGCTGTTAGTAAAGACAGATCTGAAGATAAGGATAATAATAATAATAGTGAGCAGGTAGTGACTGGGATGCGGTGTGGGCTGGGCAGCGTGCCATGGCTCTCCCTACATTACCTAATGCTTATCTTCCCTCACTCTTAGGCCTAGAGAATGTCACTCCTGTGACAAAGGTCACATCAGTAGTAAGGAATGGCCCTGGGTTTGGAATCCAGTCATATTTGCCTACAGAGACCAAGCCTTGGCTGCCACTGAACCGGAATAGTAACAGCAATGACAACAGCTAGCATTATTTGGAGACTTACTCTTTGCTGGACATCATGTGTTGGTCTTGGTCCTCCAAGAAGCTGACACCAAGATGAGATCAAATGTGCATGGCATTTATTAGGGGGATCACCCCTGGGAGAATATGGGGAGGAAGGGAACCAGGAGAGGCTGGTCAGAGGGATGCAGATGTGACCCCAAGGCCCAGAGAGCAGGGAGGAAGGAGCAGGGTCGGGAGGGGCCATCTCAGACTGCTGTGGGTTCTAAGGCAGTTAGCAGGAACATGGCCGTCTGTGAGTTACAGTCACTCACTCAGCATCTCCCAGGAATGGAGCTGCTTCAGTGTCCTGGCTGCTCTTGGTCTCTGGTGGGAGCAGCCTCAGGAGCAAGCCTCTGGTGCAAACTGCAAAAGACAGATGATTCTGGAGCCTCAGCTGGGCCCCGGGTTGGGCCAGCTCCCTGCTGTCCCCCTGAGAGGTAGGTTCTCACGCTGTACACTGAGACATGTACCTCATATGCATTTTCTCATCATTTAATCCTGAAAAAAATCTGAGAGATAGATGTGATTAATACTTTCTTTTTACAAATGAGAAAACCAAGTCCAAGGAGAGAACAAAACTTGTCTGAGTTCACACTCTAGAAATGGGCCAAGTGAGGAAGGAGGGAGCCATTCGTCGGACAGCACCCAGCATGCTAATCACCTTTGCTCCCGCCTCTTACCCTCAGAGCTATTAGCAGGTTGCCCAAGACCCCACAAGAAGGGGTGCAGGGGTTGTGATGTGAATCCCGGATCCTCTGGCCTTTGAGTCCTGGCTCTTTGCGCCATGCCACTGTCTTCCCAACGCTGTGCCTGTGTGCCTTTTGCTCAACCCTGGAAACTGGCTTGTGTGTCCACAACAGAAAATATGCCAACTGGAGCCCGAGGGGCGCGTGAAGGTGGACCTGGTGCTACGGATGGCCGAAGCCCTCTTGGCATGCTGCCCTGGGGACCAGAAGCCCGAGATCCTGACCCAGCTGAAGGACATCAAGGCCCAGTGGGAGGAGACGGTCACCTACATGACTCACTGTCACAGGTAGGGCATCCAGGGCCTTTGTCCACAGCCGCCATTGACCCTCCTTGCCCACTGCGACACTAGCTTGGGCCCTCTGCCCAAGAGACATTTCTCTAGTCCTGGGATTCCAGGAGACAGGATATTCTCTTGGGATGAGGGCCAGCCCTGCCTGCCTCTTTCTAATTATAATCAGGTTGAATGATGATAACAGACACTGGGAACCCAGCATGTTTTGCCAACAGTTCCTAAGAGACTTACCGTGTGTGCATCCTCCAGAGCATGGCACAGTGGCTCTGGAGAAAGAAGGCCTGGGGCGCTGCTAGCACTGTAGCCAGACTCCCTGCCTGTACCAGGAAGCTGGGTGGTTGTCGGTGGGGACAGGGGGTGGTGGGGAGCAGACACTCGGACAGACCTGGCATTGACTCTTGTCCTGCTGGTTACTTCCTGTGTGGCTTTGGGAAAGTTACCTGACCTCTCTGAACCTCAAGCACCTCCTCTGGACAATGGGAATAATCAAGTGCTCCTTGAAGGTTGTTAGGAGGGTAGAACGGGATAGCAAGTGTCAAGAGCGAGGTACACTGCTTGGCGCAAAGTAGGCCCTCAGTAAACAAGAGCTGCCAGGATCATCTTTTTTATAAAGCAAGGATGTGCATGGAGATGGGAATGACTCTGCCCAGTGCTTTCTGTTTTCTAAATCCTTGCGCTTGAAATTCCGAACAAAGTGGCTTGATGTTGGCTGGGGAGATAGAGCCACCTCCATGTTAGAGATGGAGAAACTAAGGCAAGCGAAGAGTCAGGGTTGCAGAGTGAGTTCACAGCACCCCTGGAACCCACACGCAGGCTCCCAGCCTTCTGTCCCCATTGGGTTCAACAAGCTCACAGATGCAGCAGTGCTTTACAGCTGCCTGGACACATCCCAACTGCAGTCTGCTCCTAATATTAGTGGGTGTGCGTGTGCCAGGGGCCTGGAGAAACTGTGTTCAGAGCCCCAGTGCCAGAGAGAAATGACTGGGGGTGTCTGTGCATTGATAGTGGGAGTTCAGGGCCAGGATTTAAGGTGATGGAGGTAAAGGACTCCCCAAGATGCGTCCCCAAAACTGGTGGTTCTGGGAGAAAGTTTGGAGTCTGAGCTCCCCCTGGCTCCTACCCTCACACAGGGAGCTTATTTACTGGGCAGAGGGTCTTATCCAGTAGGACTGAGGGAGGGTCTAGAATCTGGAGTGTCAACCAGCTGCCCAGGTGACTTAGGGGCCAGAAAGGGCATCATCATGTCCCCAGACCACAGCCCCCTAGTATTGGGGAGGGGGTGGCAGCATGGATCCCCGACCCAGGAGGCAGGTGGCGGGTTCCCTCACAACCTTGAGGTCTCTGTGCCCACAGCCGCATCGAGTGGGTGTGGCTGCACTGGAGCGAGTACCTGCTGGCCCAAGATGAGTTCTACCGCTGGTTCCAGAAGATGATGGTCACGCTGGAGCCCCACATCGAGCTCCAGCTAGGCCTGAAGGAGAAGCAGTGGCAGCTGAGCCACGCCCAGGTGCTGCTGCACAACGTGGACAACCAGGCGGTGCTCCTGGACCGGCTGCTGGAGGAGGCAGCCTCCCTGTTCAACAGGATCGGGGACCCCAGCGTGGATGAAGATGCCCAGAAGAGAATGAAGGCCAAGTATGATGCAGTGAAGGCCAAGGCCCAGGTGAGGCTGAGGCTGAGTGGGCTGCATCTTCACCCACCCATCCATGTATCCACTCTTATCTGTCCATTCCAGCCACTGTTTGCCTACTATCAAGCTGTCTACCTACTGTCAATCTATCTTCCTACTATCAATCCATCTACTCACCTGTTCCCTATCCAACCACCCTCCCATCTACCCACTCACCCATCTACCTCCCCACTAAATCACCAAATCTCCCCTTCACTATCCACCCACACACCACCCCATTCACTTATCTACCCCACCATTTGTTCATCCACGTATCCTGCCACCCATCTGTTGACTCACTCATCCATCTACTTCCCCACCAGCCTAACCAATCTTCTATTCATCTCTTCAAACAACTGCCCACCCATTCATCTATCTATCCATTCACCTACCCATCAACCCAGCCACCTCTTCCTCACTCACCCATTCACTCATCCATCTCTCCACTGCCTACCCCTTCACCACCTACCTACCCACTATCGACCATCACCCACTTGTTCATCCCACCATCCACCCACCTAGCTACCCATCCCCCAATCCTCACCTACCTACTCTTCCACCACCTCCTCACTCATCCACCATTATCTACCATCCAGACACCCAGTGTTGTGCAGTGCTTAATATACATATGGGTGTGTTGACTGACTGGTGGACTGTGATGTTCACTTTGATCCAAACAGCTTCCCCCTTCTTCTTTCTCTCTCTTCCTCTCTCCCTTCTCCCCTCCCTTCCTCCTTCTACCCTTTAGTCCTTCTCCTTGCTCTCTCTTGCCCTTGCCCTAGTCCCTCTGTCCATCCCCTGTCTGCATTTCCTCAACCCATTCTTGCCTTAATTTGGAAACAGTTCATTGAGTTACCAAGTCTAATTATATTTTTTAGAAATTTTATTTGGTTCTGTGTTATGTCTCCCTGTTCTTTTTAATACATTTTGTCATGTTCCCCCTAAGATTTTGCATTCCTCCCCGATATAGCTTATATTTGCAATCATTCTAAACATACGTATTTTACAGTCTCCATCAGATTGTTCTAGTGGCTGAAGTTCCAGGGTCTAAGGCTGAAGTTCCATGTCAGGCACCTATGTGTCCCCTGACATGGTAGATTGTTTCCTTGGGAGGCGTCATCCTTTTGAGCTCTGAGCTCAGCATAAGCAGGCTGTGTCTGCAGAAACCCACGGCTGGGACACCGCCTGAGAGTGGCTTTCTGTTGGCTTCAGCTGGGCTCCCCCGGAGGTTTATCTTCATGACTCCTATTTTTATATCAGTGAATTGGCTTGGGGGTTCCCCAATCAAGTAGATATTGTAAACATGAACCCCAAGCCAGAATCATGCAACAGGCCCCAACTCCGTATTCTGAAGGGTGATTGGGTTTTTTGTTTGTTTGTTTGTTTGTTTTTAGGCCGAGGCTAAAACACACAAGTTTCCTTCTTGAATTGTGTTTGTAACAGTTTTTTTTTTTTTTTTTCTATGTCACCCTTTGGCTAGTGGGGGCGGGCAGTCACTTGAGGCTCTGTCTTTTTGCAGTGGTCTCTGTTGCCTCTGGGCCCAAAGTCTCCCTTCTTACCCTAAGCCTGAGCATTAAACCCGAGCTTCCAGTAACCAAGACTTCAGGCACCTGTGTGAGCTTAACAGGGTGGTTTCCTGGGCATCTTTACTTCTGGTCCATGGGAAGGTCTCTTCCCTCGGTGTGACGTGGGTCTGCATTGAAACAGTGTTTGCTATGTTACATTTTATCTGGCATTTCTGGCTCTCTAGTTGGCTGTAGAGCTGGAACTGGACGTCTCCTGGGTTCTTCATGCTGACGGTTTAAGGGAAGTAAGCTCTATGATAAGCAGAGCTAGAGAATCCACCAGGAACAGGACTCTGGCGCTTGGGAAGGGACTTGGATTCCAGGCCAGGCACTGCTGCGTCCCAGCTGTGTGGCCTCAGGGCAGCTCACCCGACCCGCACCCTGGTTGTGGGGGCTGTATGGTTACATGTGAGCTCTTTGAAAACTGGCAAGCATTTTGCCAATATAAAGAAGGACTTCTACTCTCAGTAGCAGTAAGAATAAATAGTAACAACAGTGGCTCTTTGCCATGCAGCAGGTGCTCAGAACTATCTATTGAAATAATGAGAACTCCACCCCTGCAGTTTGAAGGCAAGCAACACCCAGGGCCCCAGAGAGAAGCGACAGGAGGCTCCAGGAGACTGCACAAGGTCCAGAATGGATGGGATTCGACTTGGCTCTTGCAGAGGCAGCCAACTGGCCCTCATCCGGTCCTGCCAAGTCCCGTGTGGCACAGGCAGGCTTCACGGAAGTTCTCTCTCACTCCAGGTCTGCCCCTCTGGCCCAGCTGGGACAGGTGCCTGGCTCCACAGCCTCTTTGCTGTGACTTTACAGGAAACAGGTGCTCATGCCAATCAGCAGAGAGCGCCTGGTGCAGGGTGTAGAGATGAGATCAAAAGTTGTTGGTGTGTGTGCGGGTTTGCATGTCTGTGCGTGGGTGTGTGTGCATGTTTGCATGTGAGGGTGGATGCTGGGGTGCTGAGTGAGCATCAATTCTGGCCCAGATGCTGAAATGATTGCCTCTAAGAGCCTCATTTTCATTCCCGGAGGCTCTTCCCTCACATGATCCAAAACACTATAGATACCATAGCTCTTATCAGTGAGAGCTGTTTCTTCTAACCTTTCCCTGTCTCTGACCTCATCTGCTCCCCCAACCTTTCTGTGAAGTAGATGGAGAAGCTGTTATTGAGCTCTTTTTTTTTTTTCTGAGACTGAGTTTCACTCTTGTTGCCCAGGCTGGAGTACAATGGCACCATGTCAGCTCACCGCAACCTCCTCCTCCCAGTTTCAAGTGGTTCTCCTGCCTCAGCCTCCCGAGTAACTGGGATTACAGGCATGCGCCACCACGCCTGGCTAATTTTTTTAGTAGAGATGGGGATCTCCCCATGTTGGTCAGGCTGGTCTTGAACTCCCGACCTCAGGTGATCCACCTTGGCCTCCCGAAGTGCTGGGATTACAGACGTAAGCCACTGTACCCGACCTTTTGGACTCAGTTTTTAGAATAAAAAACATTCTATGTGTCAGACACCAGTGGCCCAGTAGAAAAAGCCAGAGGTGCTTACGACTCCTAAGGTGGTACTCCCTGCAGCTGCACCTCAGGTCCTGGGTGAGTGCCTGCACCTGTGACCATCAGGATGAGCTGGGGCCCCGGGTGCTTCTGTGGTCGGGCTGGGACAGTGAAAGGCAGGTTTGAGCTGCTGAAGAGGGAGCCCTTGCGTCCAGGGCTCTCAAGAGGCAAAGGCCCACCTGGCAGTGTCCTGGGGCAGGAGCATGGGAGCCTGCGTCATGTGTGGAGACAGCAGTGATGGGGGAGATTTGGGGGACAGTGAGGGGTAGGCTGCCTCCATGGTGGAAGCCCTTGGAGTTGCCAGATGGCTGGCCAATGCTGATGCCAATGTGGAAATGGGGTGCTGTTGTTTGCGGGGTGGCTGGACCCTGCATGGAGAAGTGAATTCAGTTTTGGCTTTCTCAGCTGTCGGTTGAAGGCCCCTGATGAAGTCTTCCTGCAAGCTTGAGGACTTTGTTCTCACTCCCAGGGAGCCGGGTCAGCTCTTAGACAGGAGAGCTGTGGTGTACCCTGGGGGTGTTTCCTGCCTCTATAAGCTGGTCGTGGGGAGGACTGAGGGGTAGGTGGGGAGGGGCTAGGCAGACCCCTACGACCCCTTTGATCTTGTATTCAGAAGGTGTGAGCATGCATTTGTAAGGTATGAGGAGCTATAGCATCCACCAGATTCTATGGATGGAGCTTTCGTGGATCCAGAGGGTGCCATGTTCTTCCTAAGCCTGAGAGGCTCCTGAGAGGGGCAAACTTTTCCATCGCCCTTGGCCGGAGATTTAACCACCCAATCCTAAGCTCCTCTTCAGCAAGGTGGGATGCAGTCCCAGGCGTCGACCTCCTGGGTGTCCCCAGCCCTCCAACCCCAGACAAAGGGGGAAGATTCTAGCCTTATCCTAAGGCGGGTGGGGACTCCACATACCCAGCAGCCCACAGGGATCCTTGATGGACCCGGCCTCCCAGTCCCTGCTGTGAACATTTGATGAAGACCTCCCCTGCATAAAGGGTCTCTCTCAGGGCAGTCCTCCGACTCCAGCAACAGGTCTGCCCTGCTGCCTTCCTAGGGATCCAGGCCTGGCTTCGGGGTGGGATTGGTCTCTAGGTTCAGATTAGTGCTCTTACTTTTACCTAGGAGAGCCCATTGCCAGTGCTTGCCGTGCTAGGAACAGGCCACTGCTCCAACGAGGAAAACCCATTTTTGACGTCCAACATGTTAATTAGCACAGCCTCTAGGGTTGATGGGGACAGAGCCACAGAAGCACCATGGGGTCCTCCCTGAACTGGAGCCTTTGTGACCACCTGATGGAGGGAGATTCTTGACTAGGGCCAAGGCTAAGCCCAGAGGGGAGCAATGACACATTATCACTCCACAGCGTTTGCAAGTGAAGTGTAGACAGGGCAGGCTGGCTGCGGGGAGGGGCTTGCTTGTTTGTTTTTAATCCTGATTTAGTTTTCCCAAAGGCAGGCACATGGCAGCATCCTCACGCCCCGCTGCTTCCCGTGGCGGCCCTCACAGAAGGCGCGTCTGTCTGGCATCTTGGCCATGAACCAGAGCTGCTTGTGATGAATCAGAGCTGCTCGTGCAGCCCTTTGCAGGGGCATAAATCCACACCACCCTTGTTAATTGGTTGGGTTTTGACATTCCTGACAGCTCTGCCCGCCGCAGATGGTGTAATTGCTGGGGCTAACGAGAAGGTTGAGCACCTTCCCGTTTGTCACCCTGTCATTCTCCAGCACGGCTGGATTCTGCCCTGTTACTGTTATGCCTGGCGCAGGTCTCAGCTGAATCCCCGCGCCTCCTGCCAAGGTCCCCTCTGAGCACCTGCTCCCCATCACACAGACTGTTATTTACCCTGGCCTTCTCTGGGTGCCAGCACCTCATCCTTCACACCCTGGGAGCTGCGGCCGGCACTTCCATGGGAGAGTTCACTCCCGGCTGCATCTATCACCATCAGCGCCGCCAGGGGCCCAGCGTTCAGCCTCCGCCTGTTACTTCTGACCCACTTTGTTTCCTGAATGAGCCTTTCCCGTGGATGGAGGAGGCTCCAGGAGAGGTTTGACGGATTTAAATAACCCTGCAGGAAGGGAAGCCAGCAGGGGAGCTTGCCGAGGCCCTGGAGCCATCCTTAGGGCTGCAGGCGGAAAGCATGAAGGGCACCGCCCCCGCCCCCGCCACCCCCCCCCCCCACCCCGCGCTTGCTCCACTTTCAGATTCAAGCAGGGCCCACGTTTTGTAAGAATTTTGTCTGTCTTTATTCAAGTTGTAAACTATTTCAATTACTGTAACTTTAAAATAGGCTTCTGACTGGGCGAGGTGGCTCACGCCTGTAATCCCAGCACTTTGGGAGGCTGAGGCGGGTGGATCACTTGAGGTCAGGAGTTCGAAACCAACCTAGCCAACATGGTGAAACCCCATCTCTTCTAAAAATACAAAAAAAAAAAAAAAAAGAAAGAAAGAAAAGAAAAGAAATAAAAGAGAAAAAAACTAGGCATCATGGTGCACCCCTGTAATCACAGCTACTTGGGAGGCTGAGGCATGAGAATCGCTTGAACCCAGGAGGCAGAGGTTACAGTGAGCCAAGACCAGGCCATTGTACTCCAGTCCAGGGGACACAGCGAGTCTCTGTTTCAAAAAATAAGAAATAAAAATAGGTTTCTAAATAAGAATGTATGGTGCCTCCAATGTTATTTCTGTTTTTCACAACCCCAGTTGGAGTGCTCAACATTTGTTATTGTTGTTGTTATTTTTTGAGACAGAGTCTTGTTCTGTCAGGTGAGATAGGCTGGAGTGCAGTGGTGCAGTCACAGCTCACTGCAGCCTCTATCTCCCAGGCTCAAGCGATCCTCCCGCCTCAACCTCCCAAGTAGCTGGGACTACAAGCGTGCTTCACAAACCCAGCTAATCTTTAAATTTTTTGTAGAGATGCCATATCACTATGTTTCCAAGGCTGGTCTCAATCTCCTGGGCTCAAGCGATCCTCCTGCCTCAACCTCCCAAAGTGCTGGGATTACAGACATGAGCCACCATGCCCAGCTTTGAGAGAACTTTTCAGCTCTCTACGGAAGGGCTTGGTCCTAAGCCTGGGCTTCCCGTTTCTAAAATGGGGATATTTTCTTCTACTTGCAATGGTGGTTGCAAGGTTTATATGAATTCATATTTCTAGATTTGGTGAGGAGCTTCCCAAAGAAGAGAAAGGCATATCTGAAAGAGTTGAGGGTGCGTTTCAGATGCATTTGCCTGTTCACTCTGCCCAGCTGAGAATGTCTGACTTAGCTTGATGGATGGTCAGAACCCTCCTGGACAGGGCCTGGCTCCACAGTGAAGAGCTGAGGTCAGCCAGCTTTGGTTCATTCACCACATCCAGCCCATTCGTAGCTTCAGCCTCAGCCTCCCAAGTAGCTGAGACTACAAGTGCACACCACCACACCCGGCTAATGTTTTTATTTATTTTTTGTAAAAATGAGGTCTGACTGTGTTACCTAGGCTAGTCTTGAACTCCTGGGCTCAAGGAATCCTCCTGCCTCAACCTCCCAAAATGCTGGGATTATAAGCATGAGCTAGAATGGCTTTTATATTTTCAAATGGTTGGGAAAAAATGAAAAGTCAAATATTTCTTGATGTGTGAAAATGACATGAAAAACATTTCAGTGTTCATAATTAAAGTTTTATTGGAATGCGGCCATTCTTTTCACGTTATCTGCAGCTACTCATGTGCTACAACAGAAGTTGCATGCCGGCGGTGGAGGAGCTCCATACGGCAGGCCAAGCTAAAAGCATTTCCTGGGTGGCCCTTGACAGAAACAGTCAATGATTTTGGAGTCTGACACTCGCTGTTGGAATCTTTTCTGCAAGACCAAGAGAGTTCTGTGACATCCCAACTCCAGTCTGGACATTTGCAGAATAGGAGGGTTTTGTGATTGTTTGCGTATTAAATAAGATAATGCTTTGAAGTTTCATGCACACCTAGCATAGGTGCTTATTGAATGAGTCTCCTTTTTCCCTTTTCTTGGCTGTCTTTGGAAACTTCCCTCCAATGGCAAACACTCCAGATTTGTGCTTCCTGCCATTCAGGAAGTGTTCCCAGAGCATGCCTGAGCTAGACCCCGGGCGATGAAATAACAGGGGCAGCCTTTTTTCTAGGGACCTCCTGGATCCCCCAGTGGGTGACGATGCCATGGACAACTGCTGTGATGAAGTTGCATTCCAGTGGTTTGGGAACACAGACGGAAGGCCGTTAATTCAGCCTGGGGCAATGGGCATAGCCTCAGAGTGAGAAGGGAGCCTGGGGTTAGTATTGCAGGTGGGCACCCGCTGGGGGTGTCAGAAGAGCTTGGAGAAGGCAGGAGATGATCAGCAACGCCTCGAGGTTGTTAAGCGCTTGCCAGTTGCCAGTCTCTGTTTTGGGGGCTGTGTGAGCTCTGGCCCATTTCATCTTACTTTCTCCCAGTGAGGCAGGTGTTATTAACCATACCATATGGATGAGGGGACTTGGGCACAGAAGGGTTAATTAGGTGCCTAAGGTGGGGCCAAGGTTCAAGCCACAGGCAGTGGGTCCTGACTGCTGGACCACAGAGCTACATCATGGGGACCTGTCCTTGAAATGATAGGCTACAAGGATTGGACTTGGGCCTGGGGCCAGTGGGGAGCCATGAAGGAATATGGGGAGACAGCACTGTGATCAGGGCGTGTTTTGAAAAACTTAGTCTCTAGGAGTACAGTCTGGCTCATAGCAGGGACACCATCATTTTTCCAAATGTCAGCCACCCTCAGGACATCGTCTTGCCCCTGTGTTGTTAAGACCTTTGGTGGGACTGGCTGAAAATAGAGATGACTCCAACCCATGCAACACATATCACCGTATTCATGGGAAAATGGGGCAGTTTGCCATTGATTTGCACACCCTGTGGACACTGTTGTGTAATGGAGCTAGAAATACTGGTTTCTAGCATTCAGCCCAGCTCAGATTGAATCTTGGTGCTTTCCTAGCTGGGTGCCCTTGGGCAAATCGCTTTATCTCTCTATATCTTGGTGTCCTCATCTGTCAAACTGGGATTGTAATGGTACCACCTTATGGAGTGGTCAGGAGAGTTCACTGAGCTCGTGTGTGTCAAGCTCTTAGAGCAATGCCCAGCACCTTGGTGAGTGCTCAAAACGATAGTGTGATGTAGTAGTAGTAGTGCTAATGTTGTTGCTGCTGCCGCCTCAGTGTTGAATGTGGCAAGACTCCTAGGATGTGGCAGACAAGAAAGCCAGCTGCATAGTGACAGGGCCCAGTGCCAACATGCTCTGGTCTCCAAAGCCAAGTCTCTTGGCTTATTGCTTGTAAGGCAGAACAGAGTATCTGAGAGCTCTTTGTGTCTAGAGAAAGGGCTGGGGGTTGGTTGCACCTCCTGCTAACACACACAATCACAGACACACACACACACACACACACACACACAGAGGCAGGCTATGGGTTTTCTGGCCTTTGGGCTGTCTGGGCTGGGGACCCTCATGGCTGGTGATTCTCCTCCTCCTGCAGGACCGGGTAGATCTGCTGGAGCAGGTGGCCCGGGAGCATGAGGAGTACCAGGCAGGCGTGGACGAGTTCCAACTGTGGCTGAAGGCGGTGGTGGAGAAGGTGAATGGCTGCCTCGGGCGGAAATGCAAGCTGCCCATCACACAGCGCCTCTCTACACTGCAGGTAATCCCCAGCTGTGTCTCAACCAGAGGGACCCTAGGGAGGGTGGATTCTATGGCATAGTTTCTTTAATAGGACAGTGCTCGGTGCCACAGAATATATAAGTACCCACAGACCCCCGTGAGGAGAAGCGTGGAATCTAGCCTAAATGCTTGGGTCTTCAGAGGCTTTATGGAAATCCCTGGCCAGCAGAGCATTTGGAAACCCAGGACCACAGAAGCACAGTCTAGGCCAGTGGTCTCAAATGGGGGGCATTTGGCAGTATCTAGAGACTCCTCGTCCCGAGGAAAATCTTTGGCAATGTCCTAAGAAGGTAGAGGGGGTGGATGCTGCTACTGCATCCGGGTGGCGGCCAGGGGTGCTGCAAAACCACCGTACAGTGCACAGGACAGCCCCACACAGCACAGAGCGATCCAGCCCACGTGGCAATGGTGCCAAGGGAGAAGAACCGTGGTGCAGGCACCAGGTCTGCCTTCGGGAGAAGTGGGCTCCCCACTTTTCACCTGCTGTGTGGCTTTCAGTGAGCCCCTGACTCCGTCCATAAAGTGAGTGGGTAGAATGCCTTTAATAATTCAAGAAGCACTTGATAAATTTTGCCACAACTGTGCAGTACCTGAACTATTTCTTCAATATTTGTATTTAAATGGGCTCATTTTTTTTAAAAAAACTGATGATTATTTATTTAGAAAGAAAAATATCACTGTCATAAATGGAAAAGATGGTGCCGATTCCAAATAGGTAGATAACCACACAAATAAATACAATGAAACTGAATGGAACCATTTGGTTCTATTTGGCTCCACACTGTTTCCAGCTGAAGGCGTGGAAAGGAAGATAAACAAATGTCAGAAAGTATTCAAGACAGAAGCACCCAACAGAGACTTCCTCCTTGACTTAATCAAATGGCTTGAAAAAGACTAATGGGGAAGGAATAAGGTTCTCAGGTGGTGAGTCCATGCTGCTTAAGGCAGACAGTACAGCCCTTGGGAAGGCCCCTCTGGCTCAAACACAGGACTCCAGGAATCAGTGTTTTGCAGGGCAGTCCTAGGTCTGCTCTGGAAGATGCACCAACTGTTTTCTTTTTCCCTGCCTGTTTTTCCCTCACCCCCGCTACCCTCTTCAGGACATTGCCAAAGATTTTCCCAGGGGCGAGCAGTCTCTGGAGAGGCTGGAGGAGCAGTCTGTGGGCGTCATTCGGAACACCTCTCCTTTGGGTGCAGAGAAGATCACCGGAGAACTGGAAGAGATGAGGAAAGTTCTGGAGAAGCTGCGTGCCCTCTGGGAGGAGGAGGAGGAGCGGCTGCGGGGCCTGCTCCAGTCCAGGGGAGCCTTTGAACAGCAGATTAAGCAGCTGGAGGCCGAGCTCAGCGAGTTCAGGATGGTCCTGCAGAGGCTGGCCCAGGAGGGCCTGCAGCCTGCGGCGAAGGCGGGGACTGAGGATGAGCTGGTGGCCCACTGGAGACGCTACTCGGTAAACATGTTTGGCCAAGTCACAAAGCCCGGGTTGCCGTCTATGCCCCAGGGTCCTGGCACTCAGACCTCCACTCACTCTGCTTCTCCAGGATTCTTGATATCTTAGCTCCCTGAGCGGGGAGTAGACAAGTTTGATGTTTATCCCCATTTTCTGGAGGAGGAAGCTGGGCCCTGCAGAGATTTTTTTTCCCCCAGCATCCCTAGAGTCACATGGTGGGTCTGTGAAGAAGTAACAGCAGAGGTGGATGAGGCAGCCAGGGTTGGGCCTCAAAGCTAGTCTTTTGCCCAGTGGTGGGATAAGATGTGGGCTTCCTCTGCGTGGAACAGGGAATATTGGATCAGAAGGGGAAACTCTTAGTGTGGAGATGATGGGGAACAAACATGGGCCTCTAGGAGGCCAAGCAGCAGAGGCCCACATGGCGGGGGTGCTTCCCAGACCAGACATGACATCCCATCAGAGGCTCCCCACCCCTTCCTGCAGGTATACGAACCGAAGCTTGACTTGTGGATAAAGAGAGTTTTAAAATAATAAGCAACGTCCCTCCCCACCTCTGTCTGTATATATTGTTAACTCAGGATCACGACTCCATGAGAGGTGATATCTCCAAGGGAAGCCATCCCAGATCTTACCTGCACTCTGCCACTGTTGTTATATTTTTCCTCTTCCTTCTAATCTTTGCCCATATGCAACAATATTTTTTGTAGGGAGAAACAAAGGGCACGTATTCTTCAGGGCTGTCTTCTCGTTTGATCTTGTAGCAGAACAGGTTACCCTGCAGTGATCACCTTCCTGCAAAGGGAACTGTACCCCGCCTCCCCCCCGCTCTTTAGGACTGTGTGCCTCAATGCTCATTGGAGGTGGTATGGCACAGTGGTGAGGGATGGGGACTTTGGGGCCAGACTAGCTGGGTTTAAGTCCTAGCTTCTCTCCTTGCTAACCAGTGGCTTTGGGAAAATTACTTTAACTTCTGTTATGTGTGAAATGAAGCACTGAGAGGCTGGGAGACTTGCCCGTGGTTATACATCCAATAGGTGGAGATAGGGATTTTAACTCGAACCCAGGTAATCTGACTAAAGGTCATATGCTTCCAACCACTGGGCCAGCTCAGGCTCCCAGTTCTAGAAAATTAACATAGCAAGAGGAACGGACCAGGAATCCAGACATCAGTGGGTCTGTCCCCTCCGGGACTGCAACCCTGGGATGCTCCTGAGAGAGCAGAGGGCTGGGTATGACTTGCGTTATCCCTCTGCTGGCCAGAACAGGACCCTTGTCTGTTTCAGGGAGACTGTTTTCATCGAACGTTGAAGTCAGAGTGGATGTGTGGCTTATCCAGTGTCAGGTCAGAAATGCAACGACCTGGCAGGGTCCACCCTCCTGAGCCTCCCAAGGAATCAGCAAACTAAACCTGATAACAGTATAGATCCCAGCACAGCATGTCAGACAGAGCTGGAAGGGATGCGGTCTTATTTTTACAAGGAGGGAACTGAGCCTAGAAAAAGGTCATGCTTAGCCAGGCCACCCAGCCATGGGGCAGCATCCTTCCCAGGAATGAGGGCCCTGGGTGTTCCTGTACTGCCTCAAGTTGATGATGGGCCTTCCAGTGGCCTGGACAGGCCTCTCTCCAGGGGCAGCCCCCAGTCTTGCTCACCCTCTGCACCCTTGCCCTTCTTTGGCTGAATTCCTGTTGGCCAGCCAGCTTTCCTGACCACTGATATGCCGGGCTTCTTCATGAATGATTTTCAACCTGCCAGTTCCCACAAACCAACTGTGTCTGGTCTGTGAAAACTTTCATAGACGTCATTATATTTGCTAACTAATTGAATAGCGATAGGAATATTTTTGAGAATGAACAGGGCTGGCTGGGCAGATTCTGTGTCCTTCTGCCTACACAGTGGCAGCCGCTATGCCCGTATTGCCCCAGCCACTGCCTAAAATCCTTCCCTCTATTTGTGCTTTCTCCCTTGAGCTTAATCCTCTAAACCCTGTTCATCCGTGGGTCACCCCAGGCTAAGCCTAATTGGAGCTGCCCCTGGTTCCTCGTGAATGAAGGATCGAGCAGAGGTCGGTATAGTCAAGAAAGGCAGAAGCACAAGGCTGCCTCCTGGGATTGAGGGAGCTGGGGATGGGGAGGGACCAATGTACCCCTGCTCTGTACCAAGTGCCTTGTCAATATCACCCGACCCATGTGGTTGGTGAAAGTGACCCCATTTATCAATGAGGAAACAGCCCAAAGTGCACAGCTAGGAAAGACAGAGGTAGGTCTCCAGGCCAGCTCTGTGTTGTGGCAAAGCCCATGCACTTTCCACTACCCCACCTTGCCTGCTACTGAGCAGGGCCAAGCAAGGGACTGGGAGTCCTGCAGATCACGGTCAAATGTAGAACTTCCCAGGACAGCAGGGAAAGGCTGTGTCTGGAGTGTCTGCACACATTGAAGTGAAGCAACTTAGGAATAGTCCATGCAAATATCTTCTAGGCCTGCTGAGAATAATAACTGGGTTCACAGGCACCTTTAGAGGCATGAAGAGGCCCTGCTCTGATGTCGGGTCCACCATCTGCAGACTCTGCAACCATCAGACAGCTCTTAGCCTGTTTCCTTGTAAATAACATTGGGACACAGAGACTAGCCTTTCAGGACTGTTGCGAGGCTTAAACGAATGGGACACCCAGGGCGCTCAGCCTGGCATTGGTGTCCCTTGAGTATTAGTTATTTGTATCATTAGGTTCCAAGCTTTGCCATGGCAATGCTGGGAGGTAGGGGATACAAAAGAGCAGAACTATAGCCCAGCAACAGACAGGAAAGGCTGAGTTCCAGGTCATGGAGCTGGAGATGGGAGGGCAGGGATTGAGCTCAAGAGTGGGACCCCAGTTCCTGCCCCTGGTGACAGTTTCTGCCCAGCCTGGCCCACCCTCACTGGCCACGGTCACCCCCCTGCACACACATACTTACCCTGTTGAGGAGCCTCATCCTCCTGCTGTGGTATCGTCATGTGCTGCAGGCAACACGGGCGGCGCTGGCCTCAGAGGAGCCCCGGGTGGACCGGCTGCAAGCCCAGCTGAAGGAGCTCATCGTCTTCCCCCATGACCTGAAGCCACTCTCTGACAGTGTCATCGCTGCCATCCAGGAGTATCAGAGGTATCTGGGAAGGCTGAGGGCGGTGGCACTCAGGGTGTGCTGGAACCCACATTTCCCCATCTCCAGAAGGCAGGCTTGCTTTCTCCTGCAACATAGTAACTTCTAAATCATTCTTTGCACCTCTCAATGACTGGCTTTTGCAGGTTCTCTCTTAGCTCAGACACTGTCGCCTTTGACTGCTCTGCATTTGCTCCCAGAAAGAGGCCTGAACTTTATCCAGGCTAGTGGTTGAGCCATCCATCCTATCATGACTCTTTATGCAGGTTAGCACTGGGGAGGGGTAATGGCCCAAAGGGAGGACTTTTCAATAGACAGACTCCATTCCCCTGCCTTCGGATGCTGACTTCAACATCCGAGCCGTCTCCAGACCAGCCTCCACCTGCCCCCTCAGCCCCTGGGCTCAGGCACAGCAGGACCTCCAGCTTCCTAGTTGTAGCAAAAGCAGCAGCCCTGTATGCTCCCTGTGCGGAACTGAGCCAAGTGTTGATTTGAAATCTGTTACCTGTCTTCACTGCATGAGCCTCCGAGGTGTTCTGAACATGGTACAACTGTCCACACAGCTGTCGCGGGTCTCCTACCTCTGCCTGGTGCAGGGAGCTCTTTCAGAAGGAAGCTCCTCCTTTGCCGTGTGTCTCTCATCCCACAGCATGCTCAGGCCCACATCTACAAAACTGGGGCAGTGGCCTGGATCCCCCATGGGATGCTAAAGTAGGGGTAGGACTGGGGTTGGGGGGTTGAATTTCCTGTGCATGAAGCAGGCAGGGAAACAGAGTGGCCAAGGGTCTTCCTCTCTCTCTGGTTTCTCTCACTGAGGTTTCAGGTACTGGTTTCCTATGACTTGGTGCTGGACATTGAAAAATTATTTGTAGAAATTAAATGGGCCTAGAATGACGTTATCTTACTCAAGAAAGGGTTTTGTTTGCTTCTGCCAGATGCCTGGGGGCAGGCAGGACTAGTCTAGGGTCTCCGTAATTCATCTTCAAGGCTTGTATTCCCTGGTCATGCAGCTGGGCTATCCGTCTGTTGGACTGGCTTGCTTGCAGCGCATTTTTATCCTGAGGGCATGGACCTTTGCGATCCCAGCTTCATGTGAGGTGCTGTTTTCAGAATCTGCCCATTTTTGATACTCTTATCCTGAGAGGCTGCCAAAACCCTAACTCAGTTTTGCAGCTATTTCTTCCAGATTGGCAAGTGCCCTCAGGGTCAAAGTAGCTTTGGATGTTAGACTCACATTTTTATTACTTGTTTTTTAAAACTTTGATCAAGCAATTTTTTGTTTGCCTTTTGTTTTTGTACTCAGTGGGAGGGCCAGTCTGAATTAATTATTCTTCTCTTACTGGAAGAATAATGTCTCCATGTGTCATCTCATCTAACACTTAAAATGATTATATGCGAGGGACACTGTGTTGCCTATTTCATAGGTGAGAAAACTGAGGCTTATTAATATTGAACCACTTAAGGTCACATAGCTGGCCTGTCTGGCTCCAGACTCCCAGCTCTTTATACCTACTATAGAATCAGAGAACACTCATGCCTCTTACGTATTTACGTATTTACTTTGGAGACAGGTGTTGCTCTGTCACCTAGGTTGGAGTGCAGTGGTGCAATCACAGCTTACTGCAACCTCGAATTCCTGGTTTCAAGCAATCCTCCTACCTCAGCCTCCCGAGTAGCTAGGACTACAGGCATGCACCATGATGCCTGGCTAATTTTGGGTTTTTTTTTGTAGAGATGGGGTCTTGCTATATTGCTCAGGCTAGTCTCATACTCCTGGCCTCAAGTGATCCTCCTGCTTTGGCCTCCCAAAGTGCTGGGACTACAGGTGTGAGCCACCGTATCTTGCCCATGAATGTAAATTATATAAGAGCCCACAGGTCCCAAGGAGCCCTGGTGTTTGTCCTCAGGAAGACCCCAGGCCTGCTGCTGATGCCTTTTCATAGTAATATTAACCAGAGTCCCTTCCAGCTACATCTTGTGTCTACTGCTGCAGACACTACCAGCAACTGAGATAGGAGAAGGCCTATCCTGGGAGCAGTGCACCCTGGGCCTCTTGAGGGTCTTGGTGGAGGCCTCATCCCTGGACTGAACCCACTCTCTCTCCTCCCTCGTTTTCTCCCTCCACGCTCCTTGCAGCCTGAAGGGGAAGAGTGCCAGGCTGCGCAATGCCGCGGGGGTGGAGCTGTGGCAGCATTTCCAGCGGCCTCTGCAGGATCTGCAGCTGTGGAGGGCCCTGGCCCAGCGGCTCTTGGAGGTCACTGCCAGCCTGCAGGACCTGCCTTCCCTTCACACCTTCCTACCCCAGATCGAGGTAACCGTGGTCCTGCCAACTGGGTGTGGCTGGGGTGGGCCACTGGCGGGGCATGGTGTTTCAGCCTCTCTCCCAGGGCAAGGCCCATTGCCGGGTCCTCTGGATATCTGGGGAGAGCTCACTGCGCCCGGTCTGCTGAGTCCTGGTGCACAGGGAGTGTCCATGCTTGCTTGTTACAGTGACAAAGGTCAGCTCGGCTCCGGGTTAACCCGGGGCTCCGTAGGGACGCTCCCCGCCCGCAAGCACCTCCCAGGTGGAGGCATCAGCAGTCCTGAGAGAGCAGCGTTATCTATCAGGCCATTGCCTTTACTGCGGCTGCAAGTGGCAGGAAACCTGACCTGACCTGCGGTATCTTAAAACAGGGACATTCAGGCAGTCCAGGGTGCCAGGCCATAGCTCAGTGGTGTCACCAGGACCAAGCCCTTTGTAGGTCTAAGCCAGGTCTCCCTTCATGGCCCCAGCATGGCTGCTTTGGCTCCAAACATGCATGTCCCATGAATATCAACTGGCTCCGAATGGAGCCACGGGTGCTCGGGGCTCTCTCCACCTCCACTTCCACCTTTCAAATACTCCCGACTCCTGCACACTCCCCTTACATCTCATTGGCTGGTCAAGGTCATATGATTATTCCTGGACCAATCACCGGCAAGGGTGATGGGATTACCGTAACTGGTTTGTACCAATTAGACTCAGTGCCCCGGAACTGAGCACTTTGCATCCCAAAATGCTGGTGGTTTGGGAAGAGAGGAGGAGGAATGACTATGGGATGAGCAGAAGACAGCATCTGCCATGATGTCCACCATTATGGTGTCCCCATTATGCCTGTACGTACTGTCTCTGACATCATTGAATTCTGAAGTCCATAAAATGATTTTGTGTCTAGAGATTCTTAGACACAAAGAGTGGGAAAAGGCTCAAACGTGTGTGAGATGTATAATCATTCTGATTATAAAAGGCACACCTACTTGGAGAGTGTAAAGGTATGTGAAGAAGAAAACGAAAAGCTCCCATTATCCCACAAGCCACAGGGATGAACATGTTGTGGCTTTTTTCTATGCTATGGGGCAATTTCTCCATCGCTTTTTCTGCCACCTTGGTATTACTGGGGAGAATCAATAACCAGGATTGGCCCCTGCTCACCCTTGGTTACACTACTTGGTCACGTGCCTGCATTTTGAAACATCTACCCTTGTGATTTTCCGCTTGGGGCTTATGTTGGGCCAATAATTTGTTTTCTTTCTTCATGGCTTTTTTTTTTTTTTTCTGGAGATGAAGTTTTGCTCTATCACCCAGGCTGGAGGGCAGTGGCACGATCTCAGCTCACTGCAACCTCCGCCTCCCAGGTTCAAGAGATTCTCCTGCCTCAGCCTCCCAAGTAGAGGCATGCACCACCATGCCTGGCTAATGTTTTGTATTTTTAGTAGACTCAGGGTTTTATCATCATGTTGGCCAGGCTGGTCTCAAGCTCCTGACCTCCAGTGAGCTGCCCACCCCAGCCTCCCAAAGTGCTAGAATTACAGACATGAGCCACTGCGCCAGACCTCTCTTAATCGTTTTTAAGCTGCAGGGTATGGCCTTCCTTTCCAAGGGTCCAGGGGGCCTCTTCTTCCAGCCCCATGCTCCAAAGGATGGTGGGACATCTTTTCTAGGTGCTCCTCAGGGCATCCTGGAGTGAATTTCATATGTGCCACAAACCTCAATTTTAGATCAGAAGATCCCAAATCTGTCCTTTTTATCTGATTAAATCCATTTAGATATTTCCATGAGATATGGTCACCAAGAGACAGAAGATTTAATTACAATGTTTATGTATTTGGGATCAAGTTCTATAATTGTATATTCTGATATTCTCACTCCACACATTTGAGCTTTTGTTCTCAGCATCATTTAAAATCATTCAAATGAAAGTGATCATTTTCAATGGCTGGATAATATTCTATTTTGGAGAATGCCATAATTTAATGTTTCCACAATCAGAGGCTTAGGTTGTTGCTGATTTTTTATTGTCATAATTCACATATTTTGAATATCTATGCACTGTAGTTTTATTTCCATTGCTACCATGATCTTCCTTGTTTTGCAGATGAGGGATCAGAGCCAGGGAACCTATTTGACAAAAGAGGAAACTGAGGCTCAGAACTGCCCCTAGCTTCCCAACCAGTACATAATCCAGACTCATGATCTCAACTCCCCAGCCTAAACTCTTAACTCCCATAATATTGTGTCTGAGCTTGGTGAAGAGGGGGTAAAGGTGACGCCCCTACAGTGAGAGGCTTGACCTCTCTGTGGCTGAACACAAGCTAGATGCCCTGGTTTGCAGGTCATGCCAGTACAGCTGCATCAGCTGTGGCTACACTGCCTCTTCCAGAAACACCTACCCTTCAAGGCCTGTCATCAGTACTGCCTTCTCCAAAGTAGTACTCGATTTCCCCAACCAGGAGTGTCCACCTCTGCCTTGAACTCCCACGGCACTAGCAGCTTTGCTTAAAGAATGACCACTTTCTGTCTTGTATTGAAATGACTTACCTGGGTTGGAATCTTTGTTCTTTCTCTCCCAACTCTGTGCCTAGCTCAGTGTTTTAAGTCTGAGAGTGGGTTCTCAGCAACATCATCAGGTATAAAATGAAAGAACTCTAGCCAAAGACAAAAACTCTGGCTTCTAGAACCCCAGACTCTTGATTACAAGTGCAAGAGGTGCTTACCTGAAACAGCTGGAGAGGCAACAGGAGCCAGAGGCTTGGTTCAGGCTCTAAGAGTTGCAGGGCTTCTGGGGCGAGAAGAATGAGTGTAGGCTGGGAATGGGGTCAGGGAAGGCTTCCCGGAGGAGGTAGGGTCTGGGCTGTACAGAGTTCAGGCCGTATGGCAGCCTGCTGTCATTATAGTAGGCTTCTGAGCCCCCTTAGTTCTCCTCTTTGCCTGGCAAACTCCTGCACATCAGCAGTCTGCTGAGTATCACCACCTCTGGGAAGCCTTCCTGAATTCTCTCTGATCATGCTCCTACAGGCCTGTAGCTCCCTTCAAAATGTCCAAAACACTGTTGCAGGTAGTGCTGGGGGTGCATCCACTGTTACTGGTGATGGGGGATCACTGAGTAGAGGATCAAGCTGGCTGGGTCTGGGTTCTGCTGCAATGTGGTGGGTCGGTGGTGGGGAGCCAACTAACTGGGAGGCAGCAGCTGTTTAGGAGCTGTGTGGTCCAGGTGCCCAAGGCTGAGGGTGCGCTGCAGTCAGGGGCAGAGGCCGTGGAGAGGAGACAGACTTCTGAGGCCTGTAGGAGGTGGATGTTACTCAGGCTTGAGTATCAAGACAGATGTGGGAGGCGAGAGAGGAATCAAAGTTGACCCCGAAACTCAGGGTCTTGCCAGCGCATGCCTGCCAGCTCATTTTGTTTCTACTTGAGTTTGCTGCTTCCTCAGACACCTGCACAAAGGTAAGCAGTTGCAACCTAAGCAGTTGCAACCAGAACAGTTGTGCTCCTGGCTGTGTTTCTGAGCTGTGTCCTGCCCAGTCTGTGGTTCACAGAAGCTGTCTCCCACAGGCGGCCCTGATGGAAAGCTCTCGCCTGAAAGAGCCGCTGACAATGCTGCAGCTGAAGAAAGACCTCCTGATTGGCGTCTTTGGCCAGGAGAGAGCCACGGCACTCCTGGAGCAGGTGGCGGGTTCCGTGAGGGACAGAGACCTGCTGCATAACAGCCTTCTGCAGAGGAAAAGCAAACTGCAGGTGTGCAGCATGGGGCGTCTGCTCAGGACTTGGCCTGGCCACGGGGCTGGAGCACCCGCTGGGGAGGCAGATGGCCCTATGTTCTAAACTCAGCTCTGCCACTTGCCACCGTGTGGCCCTGGGTGTATCCCTTTGTCCCGGACAATCTCAGGCTCCTCGTGTGTAAACTGGGTAGGATTCTTGCGTGCTCCCTCTAACTGGCTTCCTAGCCACCAGCTGTCTGCCTCCCAGCCCTGTCCCCAAACCTCCTGCAATCTAATTGAATCCAGTCCAGTCTTCTGCAGAGAGTGACCAGAGGGTCAAATAAGAAAATGGCGATAAGAGCCCTTGTAAAATTTAAACCACCCTGGAACTGGAAGCTCATATTAGTGACACATTTCAAAATGACTACTCTACATCAATGACATGGCCTGGCACGTTGTGGACAGCTTATTCTTTTAGGTAACAAATGTTTGCTGAGCGTCTAATGATGACGACAATAATAACTATGATCTATGGGGCACTGGCTATGGGCCAGGGCATTGCTAAGAGCTCCAGATCCTTGATCTTATTGAATCCACGTAAGAGCACGATGAGGGAGGCACTGTTAATTTTCTTGTTTTACACACGAGGACACTGAAGCACGATGGTCAAGAAGGTGGCTCATGGTCCATATGGGGTACAGCCAGGACCCAGTCCGTGATTTCAGCTCCCATGCATGTTCCTTCCATCTGCAGGGCCTGGTGCAGTTCTAGGAGCTGGGGGGATGAAGAAAGGAAGCCAGGGTCTTCACCCTCAAACACTCACAGCTTGCTGGTGGACACAAACAAATAGGCAATTACTGGACGACATCAAAGTGCTGCTTTACAGCAAGCGTTGGCAGACTGTTTCTGTGAAGGGCCAGATAGTGAAGGTTTTAGAGTCTGCAGGGCAGGCCGTCTCTGTCGCAGCTCCTCAGTGCCACCACTGCAGCATGGACGCAGCTGTAAATGTGTGCGCATGGCTGGGTTCCTATAAAACTTTATTTACAAAAACAGGCCTCCTGTGGGATTTGGTCGGTGGGTGGAGGGGTATAATTTGCCCCAGTTCTAGAGGGATGTGGCCAAAGTCTTCTGTGAGGACACTATGGTGACTCTAAGGAGAGGCACCCAACTCCATCAGGGCTCAGGGGAGGCTTCCTGGAGGGAGAAACGCCTGGTGAGCATGAGCTGGCCGAGACCAAGAGCAGCCTGGCTGCCCAGGTCAGGTCTCACAACACGGTGCCTGTGAGGAACGCTCTTAATGTGCACGCTGTCCTGTGTGTCTACAGAGCCTGCTCGCTCAGCACAAAGACTTCGGAGCGGCTTTCGAGCCCCTGCAGAGGAAGCTCGTGGACCTCCAAGCCAGGGTCCAAGCTGAGAAGGGGCTTCAGAGGGACCTTCCTGGAAAACAGGCCCAGCTCTCAAGGTTACAGGTGAGGGGTCTGTGAGGCCTGAATCAGTCCTGCCCAGGCGCTCAGCGGCACCTGGGAGCAGCTTCTTCGTCTAGCAGTAACCAGCAAAGCGACAGCTGCCGTGAGCCAGAAATGTAGACCCTTAGCTGAGATCTGACCTTTCATCTCAACAGAACCTCTGCTTGTTTATCTGATGGTTCCTGACCTCAAACAACTGAGTCTTGAGCTCAGCAAAACGACAAGCTGTCTTTTTGTTTACTCCTCAGTTCCGAAGTCTAACATTGGTATTTGTTTTTAGAATTGCTTTGCTAAGTATTCTTAATGAGCCAGGTGTTCAGTTAAACCAACTTTGGGATTAAGAATAAATGTTCTGAAGCATGGACTGTAAGTAGGCTGGCTGTTGATCATTGTTGGCTGAATAAGGAACTTGCTGGTTTTTAAAATGCATGTGATACAATAGTTCTCTTTTTAAAACCTAAGCACAACTCCTACACAAATTGAGAGTGTTCTCTGGAAGACATTAAAAATAGTGCATTTTAGGCCAGGAGCGGTGGCTCACGCCTGTAATCCCAGCACTTTGGGAGGTGAGCAGATTGCCTGACTTTAGGAGTTTGAGACTAGCCTGGGCAACATGGCGAAACCCTGTCTCTACTTAAAAAAAAAAAAAAAAAAAAAAAAAAAGCAAAAAAAAATTAGCCAGGCGTGGTGGCAGGAATCTGTAATCCCAGTTACTCAGGTGGCTGAGGCACTAGAATCGCTTGAACCCAGGAGGTGGAGGTCGCAGTGAGCCTACATTGTGCCACTGCACTCCAGCCTGGGTGACAGAAGAAAACTCTGTCTCCAAAAAAAAAGAAAAAAAATAGTGCATTTTGGGTTTTAAAACTAAAATTGGGCCGTGTTTCTTCATAAAGAGAGGTGGTCGCCAACGATGAGTCCCGATGTGAGCTTGTCCCCGGAGATGCCATCTGGCCTGTAGCAGAGTTTAATTTCATGGTGTCCCAGAATATTGGTGTCTGATTTTTAAAATCTTTCCAGCCCTGAGAGTGGGCCCATCAGACCAGCCATGTGGTTGGTACTTCCGCTGGTATGAAAGAGCCGCACTGCCTTGGGGAAGTCACCCCTCCCAGGCTCTCCCACTCTGAGCCTCCGCCCTGATCAGCCACCCTGAGGGAGGGAGAGATGGGAAGATTAGCCTACCTGTTCCCTTCTCTACTGCAGGGGCTGCAGGAAGAGGGGCTGGACCTGGGGGCACAGATGGAGGCTGCGAGGCCTCTGGTCCAGGAGAATCCCAATCACCAGCACAAAATGGACCAGCTTTCCTCCAACTTCCAGGCCCTGCAGAGGTCTCTGGAGGTAAGGGGCTGGCGGAAGGGCCTGTGCTTTGACAGAGAGCAGACCCCTGTCATCCAACACGCCTGGGGCCTTTCCCCCCCTTTCCTGCCTTTGTTCCTTCTAACCTATCTTTTTTCTTTCTCCCTTTTTTCTTAGCTTCCTCATTCATACAACAGATAATTATTGAGCACCTCCCATATGCCAGGCAGTGCTCTAGGTGGCCCTAAGGATGGAGGTAGCAGAGCAGGACAGCCCAGGCCCCTGCTCTTCTGGGAGTTACGCCCCAGTTGGGTAGATGGACAATTAATCATCAAGCAAACAAGTCAATGCACAATTACCTATCGGGATTAGGGCCATGAAGCAAAAGAAGAGAGCAGGTCGCTGGAATCCTTAGGCAGCCCAGAGCACAGGCAGCCTTGGGTCCCCAGCAGCCTGCACTAGGCCTGGAGGCCACAGAGCTTCGTCGCCAGTGCCCTCTAGTGGCCACCTTGGCTCTTTCTAGGGTTCACCCAGGATTCAGTCCCCTTCCTGCAGTGGGGATGGAACTCGAAGCTCCTTCAAAACTGCCCTGAGGACAAGTGGAAATGCAGACTTCAGGCCCCACTGTGACACTGATTCAGATGCAGTCCTCGGTCTGCCTTTGTAACAAGCCCTGAGGAGTATAAAGCAGGATCTCTGGCGCTCACACCTCAAGAAAAAAACCCAGTGAGGCAGTGAGAGCTCTCCATCCTACCTGACTTTGCACACCCTATTCCATACCAAATATTCCTAACCTCCTCTTTACACTCCTGAAATTCATAGGGAATATAAGTTACCCACCCAGGAAATAGAAAAGAGAAATCAAAGGAAATAATTACAACACAATATTGTCCTTCAATATGTAAGTACTCCCAGATGGCCACACGCAAGACATAAGGAGGGGGTCAGAACGTGCCCTCCCTGCATGACAGCTCTCAATGTTGTGTCAAGTGGCACAGCCATCACGGCCTTTAGTGATGTGGTTTTCTGAAATGTGAACAACGCTTGATAGAACTTTGATCAAAGCCAAGAGCAGTCTCCCGTCCACTTACACAAAGGGTGCAGCTCTAGAGAAGTCTACGTTTGTTAAAACTGCAAAACTTTCTTTGTATTTGTGTGTTGATTGGAGTGAGAGTCTGAGCTCAGGTCATGACAAACAGGTTTTTTCCTGCTGTGGATATTAGGAGGACCTGAGAAAATCGTGTGGGATGTGAGCCAACTCTGCTTTGGTGGACTGTCCGCCCCAGGGTGGAATGCGAGCGCCCGTCCCTCACACTCCACCTAGTGTCACCCTCACCACCTCCATCTCAGCAACCGCAAACCCTCCCCACCAGTTTCCAGGAACTAAGGCACCACCTGTGGAGACCCGTTGGTCTAAGTGACGATTGATGTCTGGATGAATTCATTTAGTTACATTCAATAAACTAGCAGTGAGTAGTTTCAAGGTCGAGGCAGTAGAGAAATAAGACACACTGTCCTCACTCCTCAGGAGCCCATAAAAACCCACAGAAGCAGCAGAAGTCTCCTAATACCTCCATCCAAATGATGGGCTCGATTAGTTGTTATAAGCAGCAACATTAACTGAGCATCACTAGGTGTTGCAAACGATGATATTCCAACTCTTATTGTTTATATTCTTCTTTAAAGAGAAATTGCCATTTTATTATTTTGGTACCCAGGGCTTGTTAACCTAATATGTCCTTCCCTACAGCGAGGCAGTCTCTGCGTCCCCCTGGGGGGCAGGTATCCCATGTTGGAGATCACAGCTCTAGGCATAGGAAGCCCTTGGAGGCGTCTGGTCTAATGTTGGCACACAGGGACCAGGAAGGGACAGTGGTAGGGACAACTCAGAGAAGTGGAGTTTTAGATAACTTCTCAGGCTCTCATTGATGGTTCACTGAGGACAGAGGCAGCAGTCTGCCCAGCCCCTGGTATGGGCCTGGTATCCAGCGGTCTCAGCCCGTGTCTGTGGAATGCAGAAGGCAGGGCCTATGGTAGCCCTGCAGAGAGTCATGACCTCATCTGGCTAACACAGCTGGAATGGGAACGGCAGGCCCTGGGGTCTGACTGGTTCATGGCGGGCTATGGAAACAAAGCTCCAGGGTCTCAGGCTGGGTGGCCAGGGGCATAGAGAATGGCTGCCCTTCTGGGGACAGTGTCTGCCTTTCCTGGGGACAGAGAGCTGAGCAATAGATTGGCCCAGGAAACAGTACTCAGGGAAAAAGAACAAAGAAAGACTAAATGTGAATATCTGAGTGTGCAGCTCGATGAATGTTTTAAAAATTAAATGCATCTGTGTTACCAGCACACAGATAAAGCACAGAATATTCCCAGCCTCCCAGAGCCCCTGTGCCTGTGGTCATGCCCAGCTCACCATTCCCGACCCTCAAGGGCAGCTCTGACTTCAGGCTTCCCGCAACACAGCTCGGGTTTGTCTGATGTTATCCTTCATTTCAATTGAATCGGACAGAATGTTTTCTTTTGTGCCTGGCCTTTAGCTCTCCACATGATGGTTGTAAATTCATCTACTGTATAGCATGTGGTTATAGACTGTTCATTCTTGCTGCTGTAAAACATTCCATTATGTGAATATATACCACCGTGTATTTATTCATTCTACTCTCGGTGGGCACTTGGATAGTTTCCAGCTTGCGGCTGTCACATATATGCCCCTGGGTGAGGATATGTTCCCATTTCCGGGGCATGCACCGGGAATGGAATGGCTGGGCCATCAGCTACAGCCACATTCTGTTTGGGTAGATTTTGACCCATGGTTTCCACAAGTGATTGGGCCAATGTACACTTGGATCAGTGGCGGACAGGAGATCCGATTTCCCCACCCACACCTAGACTTGGTCGTTTTCCTAAAAGTAAGACAGGCTTTAAACCAGTTGATCTTCCCAGGGTAAATTCCTTGTGCTGTGTGTAGGGAACGGCCAGCCCAGCCTCTTGTGGTGCTACTTGGTGGGAAGCCCTGGGGTCCCCAGCAGGTGTGAGAGCCCTGCAGGGTGGAGGTGGTGCAGGGGTCTCCCCCTCGGACAGCACTCAGGGCGCCCTGGGCTCCCCGGGCTATGCTACAGGACCTTGTGGACAGGTGTCGCCAGAGCGTGGAGGAGCACTGCACCTTCAGCCACCAACTGCTGGAGCTGCGGCAGTGGATCGCCGTGACCACGCAGAAGCTGGAGGCACACTGGGGAGAGGCTGGCCCGGGGGATGCTGAGTCCCAAGAGGCCGAGTTTGAGGTAAGGCGGTGGTTCCCTCACCCACTTCCGAAAGAAGCAGCCTTGACAGGCCCACGTTCCCACACCGAGGAGCAGAAACCTCCCTCCACCTTCACCGTGTATGTTTCTGTGTGTCTGTGTGTCCTTTAGAGGCTGGTGGCAGAATTCCCAGAGAAGGAGGCCCAGCTGTCCCTGGTGGAAGCGCAGGGCTGGCTGGTGATGGAGAAGTCTTCTCCGGAGGGTGCTGCTGTGGTGCAGGCGGAGCTCAGGGAGCTGGCAGAGTCGTGGCGGGCCTTGAGGCTGCTGGAAGAAAGTCTGCTGAGGTGAGAGTGCCTCCTAGGCTCTGAGCCTTGTCTGGGACACCGGCTCTGCCCACCTAGGGGCACTCAGGTGCTCATGGAGCAGATGGCCAGGGTGCTGCCCAGTGTGGAGCCAGGGGCCTTGGGCACTTTCACACTTTGGCCCAGTTGGCTATTCTAGCAGGAGCAGGAGGAGCCAGGAGATGTCCCCATCTTGAGAGTTAGCCTCCAGTCCATACTGGTTTGAGCCTCAGTTTCCCCATCTGCATCAGTGGGCATATGCACCTTCATGACAGGTTACTGTGAGTTTAAAGTCAGAAACCAGATGTGAGCATGCCTCAGGAACATTCTGACAAACTTCAATGGGGGGCACTGACTCGTCACCCGTAGTTCCCCAATTCTATTACTTTTCCCATGTCCTGGTGGGTTCCCACCACATCACTGCATTGACTGGGCTGAGTTTGTCTTCTCAGCCTCATCAGAAACTGGCACCTGCAGAGGACGGAAGTGGATTCAGGGAAGAAAATGGTTTTCACCAACAACATCCCGAAGTCAGGATTTCTCATCAACCCCATGGATCCTATTCCCAGGCATCGTCGACAGGTGAGTCTGTGTAGCAGGGCTGTGGGAGAAGGGGCCAGGCCCCAGCTCAAGAGATGGGTAGGGGTCTCCAGCACAGGCGCCTCCCTGTCTGGGGCAACATGCTCTGCTCTGAGGACTTGGCCACATCCTGTCTCATTTGAGCCTGCGCCACCTGTGGCCCAAAGAGCAATTGATCCTGCTCCACAGAGGACCTCAGAGATCCCAGAGTCTGCAGAGCCAGGCTAGCAGCAGCTCCTGCAGGGAAGAGAGTGTCGGAGCTGAAAGCTTCCTGCTGGCCCCGGATTGGAAACCAAAACTGTACAAGATGGGAATATTTTTGTGCCATGTTTCATCCATCCCTTACTGCCCTTAAGCAAACTTGAGGTTTGTTGAAAAGAAAGTTATTCCTTGTTATTCAAATACATCAAATTATTCATTTTCCCATTCATTCTTTCATTCACACCTCCATTTGCTGAGTGCTACTTTGTTCCAAGGACTGTGCTCAGAGCTAGGATACAGCTGTGAGTAACACTTCCGACCCTCAGAGAACTTGGAATCCAGTGTAGAGCTTTTCAGTGGGCACCCAGCCTTGTATTAAAATGCAGGTTCTGGGCTGGGTATGATGAGGTACACCTACAATCCCAGAACTTTGGGAGGCCGAGGCAGGAGGATTGCTTGAGGTCAGGAGTTTGAGACAAACCTGGGCAAGATAGCAAGACCCCATTTCTATAAAAAATATTTTAAAATTAACTGGACATAGTGGTGCGCACCTGTGGTTCCAGCTACTCAGGGGTCTGAGGTGGGAGGATCACTTGCGCCCAGGAGTTTGAGGCTGCAGGGAGCTGTGATTGTGCCGCTGCACTCCAGCCTGAGTGACAAAGCAAGACCCCATTTCAATCAATCAATCCATCAACAAAAAATAATAAAATAAGATAAAATGCAGACTCTGAGTTAGTAGATCTGGCTGGGGCCCACAATTCCATTCTGCATTTCTAACAAGCTCTCGGGATACGCCTGTGCTGCTGGGCCCGGGAGATACTCGCCTCTGTGAGCCACTAGCAGTAGCACCTGCAGGGGAGAGAGCATGGGGGCTGGACACTTCCTCTGGCCCCAGAATAGAAACTAAAATCAAGCAAGATGGGTCTATTTTTGTGCCATGGCTATGTTTTGTAAAAGAAAAAAAAAAAAAGAACTAACTACATTGTTTCACCCATCACTTTCCCTTACCGCCCTTAAACAAACTGAGCTTTGTTGAAAAGAAAGAAGCAAGGGAGTGGCATCCACAGGCAGTTAAATAAGGGTTTCCAAAAAAAAAAGCAGCAAAAAACAACAACAACAACAACAACAACAACAACAACAACACCGTGGTGCACCTTGGCAGACAGGCCAGAGGCCACGGGAGTCTGCAGCAGTTCCCAGGTCCAGGACAGAAAAGCCCCTCCTGGAAGATAAGAAATCTCAGCTGAATTTTCATGGCGGAGTGGCAGTGAGGAGAGGAGGGGGGGAGGTGTGTTCCCAATAGAGGAGACAGTGTGTGTGAAGAGCAGAGGGAGAAATTCGAGTGCCAGTTTGAGGGGCCAAGACACGTCTCCACGCCCAGGCTCAGAGGACAGGGAAGGCAGCACGTGCAATGGAACCAAGACTCCCGGGTCACACTGAGGAGGAGTGAGAGGCACCAACATGGATAACCAGGAAGTTAGCCGAATGGGCTTGCATCATAGACAGATCACTCTAGTCATGGAGCCCCAAGGGGACAAGCATGGTGGAAGGGTGACTATTTGAATAGTCACCCTGGTAAGAGGTGGCAGTGGCTTCTGTCACCTCTCAGGGGACCAGAGAGGGGACAGTGAGGAATGTTCTTGGCCCCTAAATGTGGCCATGTTCAGTAGAGATTCATTGTTCATCCCCCAGGCCTCTCCTGTCACCATTTTGGGCATCTTGTCCTCGTCCCTGCCCCTCTGCCTCAGGTGGAATTCCCAGGACACACGGCCGGGGGCCTCTTTCACCTCTGATGCTTTGGCCATGTGTGATCCGACAGGTACATCTTCTCCAGGAAGAAGAAGGGAGCCATGAAGATTTCTCCCAGCTCCTGAGGAACTTTGAGCAGTGGTTGCAGGTGGAAAATTCCAAGCTGGTTAGAATCATCGCAATGAGGACTTCTACAGCCGAGGACTTGAGGACCAGAGAATCGAAGCTGCAGGTCTGTTCCCCAGGAAAGGTCCCTCATCCATAGGGTTTGCACCCACAGATGCATTTGCCACCAGGGGGCTCTTCAAAAGAAAGAGCACACCCACAGTTTGTGAGCTGTTCCGCCGTGTGTATAGACAATGGCTTTTATACTTTTTTGGTTCAAAGATATTAGAACATTTTCTGGCATTCATTCATGTATTCAGCATGCTTATGTATTTCCCTACTTGGAAAATATCACCACTAATCACTTGACTCCTGTGTCACTGAGCTATTGCTGTGTGACAAACCACCCCAACAGTTTGTGGCTGAAAAAAACAACTAGGTATTTAACCAGTGGTTCAGAAGCACAGCAAGCTAGGCTGAACTCAACCGGGAAGGGCCTACAGTCTGTCTGCTGTCAGTTGTAGGTCAGTTGGGTGTCTCTACTTCTGGGGGCTAGTGGGCTATTAGAGATGAGAATGACGTGGACTACACATCTCTTATACTCCTGTGGCACAGCCTGGACTTCTCATAGCAGAGGCAGGGCGGAAGAGAGCAGTAGCAGCAGGCAAAGACTTTTGAGGTCAAGACTAGGAGCCAGCATAACATTAATTCCCCTGCATTCTGTTTGCCAAAACCAGCCTAGAGTCAAGGAAAGGGAAAGAGACTCCACCACTTGATGGAAGTGATGGCAAAGTCATGTTGCAGTGGGTATGGATATGGCTGTGGGGAGGGAGATGGGGAAAGTCACAGCCATTTTTGCAACTGTACTACCACTTCTCTTCTGTCTTCTTCACTCCCACATCTAATCAGTTGCTAAAGCTCCTTGATTCCACCTCCTAGATATGTTGTGTTTCTCTTTCCTCGCACTACCATTGTCTGAATTTAGGCACTTAACCGTGTTTGGCCTTGACTATGTCTGTAGCCTCCCAGCTGATCCTCCCTTCTTCCTGTTGGGTTCCCATCTAGGTCATGGCTCATTCTGCAGCCAGAATGACAAATATGACCCTGTCCTCCCCCTAATGAAAACCTTTCACTGTAGAGTTTAACCCCTGAGTTTATTACTCAAGCCCTTTCTCAACCAGGCTCCAGCTCACTTCTGTTTCCCTATTTTTCTGCAATTTTAGGTTTGAATTTGTTTTTATTTATCTGGGTTGGGATTCATTTTGACTCCCGAATCTGTGGTCTAGGATCTTTCTGGAAAACTCTCTAACATTATTTTTTTTTCTCTTAATTCCCAAACTTGTTACTTATATTTTTTTCTACTAACAATATTTCTTAAAATATTACCTCTGCCTTGTTCCCTTTCTCCTCTCCTATTGTGATATCATTTAAACATATGTAACTACTTCTCACTGTGTGCTTTATGTCTCTTACTCTCTCTTGTGTATTTTTCATCCTTTTCTCTCTTCGTGTTACATTCTGGATAGTTTTTCTGATCCGTCTTTCAGTTTACTAATTCTCTCTTTAGCTGTGTTTCATCTTCTGTTACACATGTCTGTTGAGTTCTTAACTTTTGTTGTTGTAGTTATCAGTTCTAGAACTTCTTTTTGGTACTTTTAATAATCTAGGCTATCATTTTTCTTACCTTTATTTATTTTTTCTTATTTTATAACTCCCACCTTAACTGAAACTCTATCATTTTTCATACTTTCCAGATGCTTGCTTAAATTTTTAAGCCTATCTTTTAATTATTTGAACATAGTAAACATAGCTTTTTACAGATTGTGTCTAATAATTCTAATATCTCAAGGCATTTTATGAATATTTCTGTTGTATATTATTTCTGCCTGTTCTTACTCTTGGTTTCTTGTGTCTTTGTGTGGCTGCTTTGTGTGCTAGACGTTGTGTTTGCCAAAATATGTATAAGAGTGATTTAAGATTTAGGAGAGGCCGGGTGTGGTGGCTCACGCCTGTAAACACAGCACTTTGGGAGGTCTAGGTGGGAGGATCACCTGAGGTCAGGAGTTGGAGACCAGCCTCAACATGGAGAAACCCCGTATCTACTAAAAATACAAAATTAGTCAGGCGTGGTGGTGTATGCTTGTAATCCCAGCTGCTCAGGAGGCTGAGGCAGGAGAATTGCTTGAACCCGGGAGGTGGAGGTTGTGGTGAGCTGAGATTGCGCCATTGCACTCCAGCCTGGGCAACAAGAGCGAAATTCCGTCTCAAAAAAAAAAAAAAAAAAAAAGATTTGATTTAGGATAATCTTTTCCTCCAGAGTCTATTTCATTTGCTACTGCCAGGCAAGTAGGGACCTTTCGTTCTGGGACCACTAAATCCAAGTTCAAGACTTGCGTTTCCCTGGTCTACTAAGATGACTTTGAACTGGGCTGCAAGTCTCCACAAGGTCCAGGTTTACTTCTGGTTCATTTTTTTACAGGGTGAAGGCTTTAGGAGCTCAGCAAAAGGGTGAATGAATCCTATCAGAATCTCCACCTCGGTAGGGCCCAGACGTTGACCTTTGTCTCCGCAGCCCAGTGGGGCTGCCAAACGCAAAGGTGTTTTACAGCTATTCCTTCCAAATTGGCAAATGTTCTATGGGCAAAAGCCGGTCTGAACACAGCGCTGGCTGCCCTGGGTTTTCACTCTTTCCCAAGTCGTGTCCCGGTGTGCCTCACATTCTTTTGTTAATACTTTTATGCCTTTAAAATGCTTTAAATATTTTGTCCTTAGTGAGAGGTTTGGTCCCAGTTATCCAGTTGGCCATTACCTGGAAGTCTTCCTTGCCTGCCTCTCCCGTCTCATATTTGGCTGCTCCTCTCACTCCCCCCACCGCACCACCACCCGATTCCAGCCGTATCAGAAATGACTTTCTGTTCCTCAAGTTAAACCCCCTTGCTTTTGTGCAGCATACGCTCCTGCGGGCTCTGAGAAGCTAAGCAAGGTGTCGCATATTACATGCTAGTAGGATGGGGCAGAGTCGGGATCCAAAGCCAGGACTGAAACCTGGGCTCCCGGATTTATAGCCCCGCTCCCACTGCGCCATCACACCACCTCTCCGGAGACCTGAGAATAAAAGGTCCCATCCCAAGGGAACACGGTACTTACATTTCCTGAGAAAAATCTGCACATTCCAGCCCCACTCTGCCAGGCTCATAACGCCAACAGAAAGACCTGTTCACAATGACAACTTTTAGAGTGAGGCAAACTCTAGTCCAGCCCTCTGGAGGACTTGGTCCTGGAACGTCAGAGTTGGAAGTCACCACTGGAGGTCTGCAGCCCAGCTGCCCGTTCCGTGCAGGAGGCCGTCCTATAACATTCCTGAGAGCAAGGGCTAGGCTTTGGCTTGAATTGCACAGATGGGAGTCCCACTTTATGGATTCTATCTGCCTCCTCCCTTCCTACCTGTCTGTTGAGTGAAATTTGATGGACCCATCCTTACCGTCCAGGTGGGGCTGTCTGGGCCATTTGGAAACCCCACCATGACGCTGCTGCTTCCCCCAGGAGCTGGAGGCTCGGGTGCCAGAAGGTCAGCATCTCTTTGAGAACCTCCTTCGTCTCAGGCCAGCAAGGGGGACCTCGGACGAGCTGGAAGATCTGCGCTACCAGTGGATGCTGTACAAGTCCAAGCTGAAGGACTCCGGCCACCTGTTGGTAGGTGCCAAGGATGTGCAGGTCCCAGATTCCAGGGACAGGACTGTAGCTGGGCCTGGATTTGCCTGAGGATACAGTGCTCAGCCCGCATGCACCCTGCCCTGTGCAATCACACACCAGGCAGAGATGACTACTCAGACAGAGGACAGGGACACCCAAGGGTCCTGGACACTTGACTCAGGTGATGCCATTTGGCCATCCAACCACCTCATGAGGCTGGAGTCCCAATCAGGACAGCAGTGACGTTGTAATTAACGTGTAAGGAGTGCTTCCTACCTCCCAAGCCGAGGGCTCTGTGTGCACTGTCCCATTCAGTCCGTACGGTTCCCCTCTGCTCAAGTCATTGTATCTCCAGCCTCTAGATGGGGAGCTGAGACTCCAAGCAGTGAAAAAACTTGCCCAAGGCTCTATGGGTGGTTGGTGGCAGAGCCAGCCTGTAGACACACGCTTGTGTTGTAGGTGTGACCTGGGGAAGCACTGGAGTGGCATCAGGAGCCCTGGGGTCCAGCCCCATGTTTCTAACTTGCCCTGTGTCTGAGTTGAGCAAGCACCTTCGCTTTTGGGGGGCCCCTGTGTCTCCTCACACAAAATAATAATAATAATAGCAAAATAGTAATAATCATAACCTTTGCTCAATGCTATGTCCTCATAACAGCCCATTAAAGGAGGTGCTGTTATATGCCTTGTGAACCAATGAGGAAACTGAGGCACAGAGGTTAAGTTTCCTAGGTCCCTAAGTCTGAGGAGGGTGGTGAGATGGCCCCTAAGGGCCCTTTCAGCCTCAGACCCCAGCCCCAGCTGGGCACCCCAGGCTTTCCTGGCCCTGTAGCAGCCGAGATGGCCACTAGGTGTCATCCTAGCCCAAGCCAGGTCGGCCATGGCCCCAGCCGGCCTTGGCCACCGCCTTTCCAGACAGAATCCCAGCTGGGCCTGAAGTGTGTTAAAAAGCTCATTAAATCGAATCACCTGCTGGCTCAGGCTGTCCAGATGACCAGAAGTTTTAAAGAAACACTCCCCTGACAAAATGAATATTCCATTACAGGCTCTGTTGGGATTTAAGTTTCACTCACTTAACTTATTTTTTTTCCCCCTTTTCCTCTCCTTCCCTAAAATAACAGACACAAAGTTCTCCAGGGGAGCCGACTGGATTCCAAAAGGTACAGTGTCTGCCATCTGCTCCACACAGCCAGCGGGCAGGGTGCCTGGAGGGTTGGTGGGCCCGTGACACTGGGGCAGGACTCGTGGGCTTTCTGGAAGGCTCCAGGAAGACCAAAGAACATTTATGGGGGATCAACTCTGGGCTGCGCTGTGCTGGCCCCAGGATTCTTGGTCTCAAGAAGCCCCAGGCTTGGGGGGAAGCTGGCCAGGCTGTGCAGAGTCCTCCGCTGTGACAGGCACATAGGAGAGAGGGGATCTTGGAGTTCACCCTCCCAAATCAGGACACGCTGGGGAGTGGACAAAGATGCTACCAGTGATTACGCTGTGACAACAGGTGTGAACCGGGACTGTGCCAGGAAACCTGGGTTGTTGTGGGCAAACTGGACGATGTGGCCACCCTGGTGGTGGAGGGTCTGCGGGGCCCAGTAGGGACAGGAGAGGGAGGGATTGTGCCTTTGCGTTCTACTAGGCAGGTGTTTCCACTTACCCTATGGAGCCATGCTCAGAGTCACTCCCAGGGCCTTTGCAGGCTGAAGCAATAACAATAACAGCAGTAATAATGACAACAATGAGAAACAGGTATGATTCTTACTCGAGATGCTATGTATTGGCCATCCACTGTGTGTGTAAGGAACTGTGCTAAGTTGTGGTTAGGGCCCCTCCTGTAACTCGCCCAGTAACACCCAGGAGGCAGTATAATCTCAACTTTCAGCGTGAGGAAACAGAAGGGGCAAGCCTGAAGTGACTTGTTCAAGGAAGGCCTCAGCCCCTCAGTGGTCTCTGGCCTCTGAATCCAAACCCCATGTTGTTAACCTTCCACGGTGTGACTTGCAGAAGACTTCCCTGGGGCCCGGAGTGTCTCCCCATTTCTGGAAAAGCCAGGTGTAAATCGGTGTCCCCTGGTGCCACTGTTTCCAAAAGAACGAGTGCTGTGTTTTCTTGCTAGGCACTGGGCCGTACTGACACCAGCCTCCAGCGTGCTCTGACCCACGGCGCTCTGAGTTCCTTGAGATCTCTCATTCTTGGGAATCTGAGTTTCCTAGAAATCTGTGATTTCTTCTTGGCCTCAGGCTGGTGTCATAAGTAACATCTGTAGGAGAGTGGATGACACACGAACTGGGCGGGGCAGTCACAAAATCAAGGCTGGGCTCTGGGCCCAACACCAACTGGCTTTGTGGCTTTGAGGAGTTGTTTGGCTCCTTGGGGCTCACTTGCCCCATCTATAAAATGGATTTTTTTTTTTTTTTTTTTTTTTTTTTTTTTTTTTGAGATGGAGTCTCTTGTCACCCAGGCTGGAGTGCAATGGCATAATCTCAGCTCACTGCAACCTCTGCCTCCCGGGTTCAGGCACTTTTCCTGCCTAAGTCTCCCGAGTAGCTGGGATTACAGGAATGTGCCACCACACCCGGCTAATTTTTGTATTTTTAGTAGAGACGGGGTTTCGCCATATTGGCAAGGCTGGTCTCGAACTCCTGACCTCAGGTGATCCACCCTCCTCAGCCTCCCAGAGTGCTGGAATTACAGGCATGAGCCACTGTGCCCAGCCTAAAATGGAACTATTAATGGCAACCTTATTTACTTCATGAACTTAGTTTGAAGATCATGTGAACTGCTGTATATGAACGTAGAAGTGCTTCTGATCACTTAAACCCTGCCCCCCACACACCCCAGTTTCGAATAACAAACAGACTTCTCATGAGATAGGGAAAATCATCAAGAAAGGACAGGTGTTCTACACAGGCCAGCCGGGTGGGCCCTGGTGGGAGACGGGGGACCCAGGACCTGGTGTCCAGACTGACTCTAGCTCCTGCACTTCAAGCCTCTCTCTGGTTGGAAGCCCCCACCTATGCAGCCCCCAGGCCAGGATCCATGTGGGTGTCAAGTCTGGGCCCCCTGGTGTCTAGCCATGGTGCCTAGCACATAGTAAGTGCTCACTAAATGTTTTTGAGTAGTGACATTTGTAGACTGACACCAGCCCTCCAGTGCAGGCCCAGGTTCCTACAACCTGTAATTAATGTGTTACTGTGGTATGTTCATAGCCATAGTGTTCATTGCTATCTCTACGTCGCCTCCCTCCCTCCCTCCCTCCCTTCCTTCCTTCCTTCCTTAGTGCTGACTTTGTGCCAAGCTCTGTTTTAGGCACTGGGATACATCAGTGAACAGAAGAGCAGTGACCTGTCCTGTACACTGTACATCCTACTTGGGTGGAGAGAGGGGGATGGGGCCAGAGCACACGTGTCCAGCTGATGTTTCTCAGTAGCACAGTGGGAATCTCTGGATCAGAGAGCTCTGAAGGTCATACCACTTGGGATCCATGTAGCCCTGAGGTGTATCTTGTCTATGACCAGAAGACGTTGGGCACAGCTTGGTGGGGTATGCAAAGCAGGAAAGCCCTAAGTGACTAAAGAATCTGCTTACTTGGGCTATGTTTAAAACAATTGGATGTGTAAAAATTTGACTTTGGTGCTTGCTGGCTTTTGAGCTAACGGATCTCAGCCCACTGTGAAGAAGTAAACAACGTGGGAGCCAATACACAGAGACCGTCTGTGGCTCCTTTATATGACAGCTGGTTAAAACATAGATTATTGGACCCCATCTCTGCAGTTTTCGATTCATTAGTTTTGGGGTGGCCCATGAATCTGCATTTCTGACACGATCCCAGGTGTTGCTGCTGCTGGGGGCCTGGGGACCACACTTTGAGAACCACCACTTTACACTCTGGATTCAAACCCAGGCTCCACCATTAGTGTGTGTGACCTCCAGTGAGTCATTTAGCCGCAGTCTTCCAAACTCAAATGTGAGTTCACTGAGCTCCTGGTAGCAAAGTTCCTGTTGTAACAATGGCACATAGTAGGTTCTCAAGTGCTGTGTGAATGGGGACCTGGGAGACCTGCAGACACCGTCCTGCTTTTCTTTCTGAGGGTAAAGGGAGCAACGGCACATCTGAGGGGGAAATCCTCCCTTTGCTTCGGTGTGTGCGTGGTTCTTTGCAGGTTGGGGTGTGGCGTATGCGTGTGTGGTTATGCGCACGCATGCACATATGCACATCCACAGGCCTGGCAGGTAGAAAGTAGGTGCTGTCTTCAGAGGCTGTAATCTTGCCAACTTAAAAACATTCCACGTATTATTTTTGGTCTAAAGGGAAACGGGGAAAAAAAAACTTACCCCGAAGCTAATTATTTATGAGCAGTTGGTTCTCCACACTTTTTTTCCTCCCTCCATGCTCCAAGTCACTGAAAGCCCCAGCTACGTCAGTGGCTTCAGCCTGCTTGTTTGTATAAACAGAATAATTAAGATTTATTAAATTTGCAGCTGCCTACGCACTTGCCAACTCACTGCCGCGGGCGTGTTTGCCTGCAGCATTTAGACACGTGAAATGTAATTGCTTTTTGAGTTGCAGTTGCGCTGTGAGTCAATTGCATTCCTTGCATTGGCCCAGGGAAGTGGAATAGCCCTACCTGAGGCAAACTTTTAGTTGGGGATGGATTGGCCAAAGGTTCTGTGAGCCAGGGTGAAATAGGGCAGTGCTAGTTTGCAGAAACAGAGAGCAGGCATCTCCCATCCATTTCATATGTGGGCTCTTGGACTATAGATCCAGATGTTGTGTGACCTGAGAGTAGCATTTTATTTATTTGACTATGTTTCATAGGTTTTAAGACTCATATTTTTTCACATTTTCACATCTCTGGAATTCGGGTGTCTTATTACAATGTAGTTCTTCCAGTGAAGATTTAGATTTACTGCCCATCACCCCTAACCTGAGATTCCTTTAAATTAAAATGTCTGCTTGCGGGTTGTGTTCTGTTTGGGTTTCCTTTGGACCACACTGGTTGTGTAAACGGAGACCGCCCACCTTGGGGAGTTCCAGCCCGTGGTTCAGACTCTTGAAGAAGAGTTTTGGTTTCCCACCCTTCACCCAGTGCCAAGAGAAGACCTGGAATTTCCTTGCCCCCTCTTTCTGTGAGGTGGGTTTCTCATTTCTCCTTATAGTGAAGATGCAGCTCCCTCGGTCCCCCATACTGATGTGGGCTGTCCAATCAGATGCGCCATCTTGGTTGCTGTTCTTTTCTTTCTTAGCGGTTTGTAAAATAATGGTGCACTTTTTAATCAGCGTCTTAGATTGGATGAGCTACTGCGATACCCAATCTCAGTGAGTATTCCATGTTAGATCATAACTTTCTGTCTTTGCAAAAATCCCTTTTGTGTGTCAGGCCCTGTGCTGGGCACGCATGTGCTTGGTCCTTAATACTCACAACTGCCTTCTCCTTTTATAGTGGGAGGAAATGGTTTCTGGGCCCCTTGGCCCCTTCTCTCACTCGTGGGATGGGGTCAGATGGGAGCCAGGAGAGGCAACATAGCTTGAGTTTGTACTCCTGTGACTTACCGTGGAACTCCAGGGGCAGGTCACATCTGCTTCTTCCCTGGTCACAACCAAAGGCCTGGGCTTTGCTAGGGACATGTAGTCTCTGACCTCTAAAAGACAGAGCCAGGGACAGCCTTCACCATGCTCTGTGTCATCCCATGGCCTCGCCACTCCATCCATCTACAGAGCCCAGAAACAATCAGTCTTCGATGATTTGTGAACAAGTTGGTGCTAAAACTTTGGTGGTGAAGTATTTGAAACTAGTCCTTGACTACCAAGATCCAGAGAAGCATTCTCTACACTTGCTCACTCACCTTCCACCCCACAACTCGTCTGAAATTCATCGCAGTGAGGTACCCAGCAGCTACTTCTTCACTAAGGCCAGTGAACTGCTGTCCTCATCACACCTGGCCCTGGGGCACTGGGACTGATGACCACGGCCTCCTCTTCCAGCTGCCTCTATCCTGATGCCTCTCTCTTTGTTTTACTGCTTGCCAGCTATCTAAGTCAGTGTTGATAACACTCAATGTTAATGAAATACTATTATTTAATCCACAGTTCATATTTTAAAATTTTAAGCTGTCTCAATAGTCTCTTTTGAATTGATAGACTTTTGTTTTTGAGCAGCTTTCGGTT